ATTTAGCGACTTCGGGACTATGGACGAGGGTAACGTATCAGGAATTAAACGAAAGGACAATAAAACTCGTGCTCGCTCATCGTTTTGGACGGCTGTCCGTTCCTTTTAGTAGAGGGACAATGCGACAGTATTTGAAATTCTTCAAATTCGTAGAGTTCGCACTTCTAAATAACCACAACAAAATTTTAGATTGGTCAAGTAGTTTTTGAGAATTTCTTATTATTTATCCCAAAACCCCTGTTTTCAGGCAATCACTACTAGTTAATTGAGCATTTTATAGCAAAATAGACTAGTTTACCTTGCCGATATGAATCGCAAACCATTCCGGAAGATAAATGTTATTTTTATGCAAAAAAGGATGGGTTACGTTTTTTCTTCTAAACAAATTCAAACATTTCGTATTTGTGAGTAATTCACAACAAAAGATGATAGACACATCCGCTTTGATTTAAAATGTGTATTGTAACGCATGTTTTTCGAATATCGCACGGCATTTGTTGAATTACTCACAAATACGAAATGTTTGATTTTGTCTAGAAGAAAAAAACGTAACCTTTGTTTTTCGCATAAAATAACATTTATCTTTCGGAATGGTTTGTGATTCATATCGGCAAGGTAAACACGTGTATTTTGTTATTAAATGTTGTTTGAATGAAATCTGTATGTTGCTCGATAAACCAGAGATGATGGCCGGAGAACAGGTGTTTTGGGATAAACAACTAGAAATTCTCAAAAAACTACTTGACCCATATAATTTAATTTTGTTGTTAGTTAGAAGTATGAATCCTAGGGATTCAAAGGATTTCAAGTAGTTGCGTGAAATTATCGTCGCCAAAACCTGCATTTTGCCTCGTTTTTCGGCCATGGAATTTTTCCTATTAGTCGGATCTTTTTACGTGTGGTCTCATTTTGTAGACCTCATAAATACCTAAAGAGTTTTTTTCGTTCCTGTCAACACTTTCGATTGAATTCCAAAAAACAAGTTTTCTCATTCTTTGTTGTCAAAAAAAAAGTTTTCCGACAAAAATTCGTGTACCCATTTTATGCGTCCATGTTTTAAATACCCCCCTGAACAACTTGCACCAATAAAACCAGAATTCACAATTATTTTGTAGAAATTTGCTAATATGATAAACTAAATAAATATTTTTTTTTCAACACACATGCAGTTTCAATTGGCCAGGGAACTATGGGTGATTATCATAGGGGGAGAAATGCTTTGTTTTTCAACAACGCCAAATCAATACGTAATACATATTAGATACAGCAAACTAATCCAAACACACACATGTGCTAGATATTTTTTGTGATCAAAATATCCTAAAATATATTCCAGCACAAGTGCTGAAGTTGAGTTAAGTTGTGTAACATCCCAATTAGCAAAGTAGTGGTATAAGGTTTTGGTAAAACAACCGTTCAGCCATAAAAGCTCTCTATTGTTGTTGCCTGAACACCAAAATGCTGGCTTAATGTTGTGTGGAATGCAAACTTGCTTTCTGCAACATTCTAAGGCGTTCGATAAAATAAATCATGAGCTTTTATGTGCTAAATTGAAGTTTTTTGGTTTTTCAGACATACCTCTAATGTTTTTTTATAACATATCTTTCAAATCGTAAACAAGTAGTAGAGATAGACAACACTATATCTAGTCCGATTGATATAACATCAGGTGTCCCTCAGGGTTCAGTTTTAGGGCCCTTGTTGTACTTAATTTATACTATAGACTTGGGTAGCTCTGTGAAAAACTCTTCTGTGATGTGCTATGCCAATGATTCACAGATATATAAGAGCTTTAATAGTAACACTTTACATACTTCAATCAATGAGCTTAATGATGATTTGGAGGCAATAGTAGGATACTCAAATGGTAACAATCTTAAGCTCAATAAGGATAAGTGCTCAGTGATGCTTTTTTGTCCTGCTGTCAAACGTAACACTATATTGAATTCTCTTGATGTAAAAATCGACAAGGAGCGTCCAGCTGTCGTAAATACTACAAAAAATTTAGGGTTGATTATTGATTATACTTTACGGTTTAAGGAGCATGTTTCGTCTATCTTAAAAAAATTTTATGCAACTTTGAAGTGTTTTTATGTCAATCGCTCTATTTTGAATTTTAAAGTTAGAAAAAAGTTATGTGAGGCTATTATATTTCCAAGCTTATTTTACTGTAGTACTGTGTTCTATTATTGTCTTGATTCTATCACAAAAGCAAGACTCCAAAAACTCCAAAATACTTGTTGTCGATTTGTATTTAATCTCAAGAATTATGATCATGTTTCCTTAAAGAGATTTCAGCTTGGTTGGATGTGCATAGAAAATGTACCATATAGCAGTGTTTACACATAAGATCATATCTTCTCGATCCCCCTTGTATCTTTATGAGAAATTTGTTTTCAGACGAAATAATTCAGACATTGATTTCAGACTCAAAAAAAGAGTAGAGATCCCTATGTATAAAACAACTTTATTTCGTACTTACAATGCTATCCTGATTTATAACGAATTAGATGACAATATAAAGGTTTGGCCAGTAAACAGATTTCGTAAGCATGTGAAACAGATTTATTTGTCATTGTAGTAATTGTGGAAAAGTTAGTTTTTAATTCTTACATTTTATTTTATTTTTACATAATATATGTGTGTATATATTATGTATGTCAGGAAGCTATCAAGCTCGTTGTTTTGAAGTGTCTTTTGCTGCTTGTCAAAGTTTCCTTTGATTGAGTATTTCAATTTATTATTTGGGTAGGTTAAGTAGAGTAGCCAAGAGCTAGACTTCGCCTACCTAGAGGTCACATTATGTTGAGGTTTATATAATGTGCCTAATAAAGACATTTTATTATTATTATTATTATTATATTTGCTCTAAAGTGAGGTGTTTAAAATATTCTTATAGTATAGTTATACAACATCTTATATGGCAAATTTTTAACTGTTGCATAAACGTTTATACAACTATTTTATACGGCATATTTGCACGTTAGTCAAAATGGTTGTGTTGTGGCATCCATGGTAACGTTTATATAACAAACTCGAGCCTTGTTGTTTTGCTGTGCAATTTACTACTTTAGCCAACAAATTGCTCCCAACGGAAGCACTTATACAACTGTTGTTTAGTAACTGTTAAAGGTTGTGTGTACAACATATGCTAAATATGTTGGTATACTACTTCACCATAACCTAACTTTTTGCTGTCATATTTTTGTTAAAATACCATAACCAATGTTTTAAGACAAACAACGCATGCATATTGGTTCAAAATGTTTTATCAACTGTTCAAACAAAAGATATAGATCTGGTACAAATTCTGGGTAAGTCATTCGACTCTGTCGGTATTTCATTTCAGACATTTGTCAAATTGTTGTATAACACCTGCAGGCAACACCAAAATATTCTAATAACCTAAAGACAACATGGACGACGCCATGATTATACATTATATTGGGCAAACATTTATTCCTCTATTTAATATTAAATACTTATGTTTCAGTTCGAAATTACAGATATAAAGTTATAAAAATTAGTGTAATTGTGTCTAAATATAGGATTTGTGGAAGATTTAACGCAGATAAGTTCAGTTGTCCATCTTAAAAATCTAGACATACTTTTAATCATTATCAAAATATGAATCAAATACGAAGCCCGTAGAAATTGCGTAACTAATTTGCACGATAATCACAATAAAATTTGCTGCGCAAGTAATTCAATAGCCCTATATCACAGTGCAGAAGTTTATGATATACCTGTGTATGAAATTGACAATGGCCGATATGTAACTAAACAAGATGACTGTAATGTGTTAGTTATATATTCTTCTTCGTCTATACAATACATAAGAAATAGTCTGGTTGAAATAAACTAGAATCACGTAACAGAATAGTTGTATAGTTGTCAAAAACTGAAGCTTGCTCTGGCGCAAATGTCCTATAGCCGCTGCAAGAGGCTTACACCTTTGTTGTATAACTGTTACCTGCAGCCCTTGTACAACCTCTTAAATGACTGAAGTGTCCTATAAGGTGTGCCCATTCCGCTTGTATAGCAGTTCTAAGAGGGTTTTGCCAATGTTCTTACAGTATACAATGCTGTTTAAGGAATACTGTATAATCATTCTTGCAACTCTAATAGGAGTGATAATTGTTAGTTGGGATGTACCCGCAACTTGAATGGAATTATACCATACAGCAATCCCTTTTCCCTTGCCGTAACGCTATGGCGACCACCACCAGCATCCGTAGTCAGACTATTCTATTCAAGTATATGGAAGTTCTTCGATACGCTTTCATCTTGGCGGCGTCCCCAATTTGAAAGCGTAGCCACACACTCGCCTACCTATGTGGCGCCTGGCGACCCGTGCCAGAAACGGTGAGATACCAATGAAGCACAGAAAACATCTTTGAAAATGCTTGTCAGTAAAATGAGGTTCACACCGTCACTGGCACCTGCAGATGGCTGATATCGTTACTTTTTGATATCAGTTATTTAAAACTGTGACATGATCATGGCTTTCAAGTGACGATGGAATTATGGTTATACTGATATCATGAGTAAAATACCGCGATGAAATCGCATGGAGCCAACCAAACCCCATAAGGCCCGATATCGCTTGCAGGCCATAGTTTAGTCTTACGGTGGTATACGATTCGCGACCTTAGCGGTTATAGCGGCTGCGTATCTCACGCATATTTAAACGCCTACGCTGTAAATCCCATAATGAACGCCGTGGCTGTGAAGCATCTAGTTACCGAAGTCGTAAACACATCACGCTTTTCACGGAATTTGGTAACAGTCGTGATTCGTGGCTTAAAAATATCAATTACCAAATCACAGTTTGTAAAATATCTGCGCTATGGCTAGACCATTAGTATTCATAGTACTAGAGCTAGATTAAATGCAGTATAATGAATTCAGTCTGATTTTCTAAAAACATGGTAGTCTAATTTTATCGAATGGTTGGTCTAATCTAATTTTAATACATGGGAGACGTGGAATAAGGAAACTATTCACAGTTCGAATGCATTTATTCCGACAAAGATAAAGCCATTGAGGCTCCTTTTTTTAAACTTACCAATTACAAAAAATTATATTTAATAAATATAGATCACATATAAATAGTTCACTTTGGTTTTAAGTATCCTAACTAAAAGCCTTCATGCTTACGTACTGGAAATGTCCCTGCAAAAAAGTATACATTGGGTATCTCAAACTGAGTTGTTCGTACTGTCAGGAGTGTCAGGAGGTAAAGATTGTTTATGAAAATATAACGAAAAGATTAATTTTTGACGTGTACAGTGAATAGAAGCATTATGTGAATCCAGGGCTGGTTAGAAGTATGACTAAGACACTGTTCTCACCAAAAGTAACCGGGATTCGCCTCGACTTCAAGTAACTTCTGTTGCATTGCTTTTGTGTTCCTATCATAAGTAAGTAGCCTTGCAGTGTCGTTTTGCAGTTGCGAATCAACCACTTGCTAAAGCCGCGTACAGACCGAGATTCCAACGCAAGGCAAGGCACATGTTACAGATATGGTGGTGTTCCAATCGGTGTGTACAGCGCAAGCCAACATAAGCCAACGGTTTCCAAGGTTGGCGTTAGCGTTCGCTCCTTGATCGCTTCTAGTATTCAGTCGATTGTCTGCATTCGATCAGAAGAGACTTGTCGCTCGACATTAGCACCGAACTTAACGCAAACGTCATATGTGCTTGCGTTCGTTTGCTCGGCGTTGGATTTTCGGTCTGTACGCGGCTTAATATGGCGGAATATGACTATGATATAACGTATTTCATAAAGAAAACCTAGCTATAACAATCAATCGGTATAAATAGTATTTTTTAATAAATACATAAATACAATATGCGCAATGAAGGATCTGTGGAAATCAACACCTTGTACACAGACATATTTCTTACTCTGATGGTCACTTGTACCCCATTAACTTGCTTGTGGCATGCTTTGTATCAACTGTGGCTCCTCTAGAAGGTGTTTAAGACTGACGGTCTAACTGGATCACCTCAACACAAAAATGCAATAGAAAAGTATATTTTCTCGACTCTCAAGGGTTTTTTTTGAGGGTACCACCTGAATGTTACCAGATATTACGAATGACATCTTTCAGCTGATGGGCAGATCCCGACTGGCTACGGCAGTGCCAGCAACCGTGCAACTGTTGAACAACTAGTTGCATTACTGTTGCTTTGGTAAGAACGCTTGTATTTGAATGCATATGCTGAGTCGGGATGGGGTTGGATTGTGGTCACCAATTGCTTTCGGTGGGAACGGTGTCTGTCACATCATAAAACGGCAAAAGGTGCGGTTAAAACCTATAGCTGGTTGTAAGTTGTAACGTTTCACAATATCCCTGCAGGTAATTTTTCGACAGGCGAGTGAAACAAAGGACCCAAAATAAAATACATGACTATGATGTAGGAACTTACCGGTATGCCTATGTCCCAACCCGCTCCAGCTGGATTAGCCTCACAGATTCCTTCTCTTCGAGCTATCACGCCCCCATCAGTCACTACCCATACTTGATTCTCTCCAACGCAAACATGCTTAAAACCGCTAGTGTTTGGAGCAGAATCTGTAAGAAAATTATGATACAGGTAAATCATGGTTATTAAAGTCAATCGTGTACACGACGCTACCCATTAAACTGTATTAAATGGCAACACGGTACCCAACTGACATTTGACCCAATGGAGAATGTCAATGCAAAGCAGCCATCACTCAACCATATTTCATAGATAAATTTCAAATTATCCTAGGATGCAGTATTCGCAGATTTTTGAATTAATTTTACACCACACTCACTCAAAATAGTTGGATCGGGCAAGATGGTCTGCCAGTGTTTTCCTTCCGGACACTTTGAACTAACTTCCTTCCGAACGTGGAGTCGGCCCAGTCGGTCCACAGCCCAAATACCCGCTTTGTTCACAGATATCTGCTTCAGCTGACCGCCGTTGGGAGGTTCTACGGTCATCCATTTTTCACCTTCAAGTTTTTCTGCAGTTATTCCTATCCTAAAGTATGCACAGCCTTTTCTACCTATAGCCCATACTTGCGTGTATGGGCTACAACTAATACTATGTAGGGGTTGATCGGTATTCACATGCTCCCATACGTGACCCTGAAATTAAAGTTAAACGGGTGGTTATGACCCTCGGCATGAAATTAGACCCCAAGGTGTAAATCTAGCATGCCAAGTGAAACAAATGCTTCTTACTTCCGAGACACATACGAAATTTTACCCACGACCATCTAAAGAAGAAAATATATTTTAAGTAGAAATATGAAAACTAAAATGATCGAGACGAAAATGGCAGTAACATATTTAACGATAATGTGCAAGGACTGCTTGTTGGATTTTGTTAACATGATCGGCTAGGAAATGGGTTTATCCATGAATGTAGCTAAAACCATGGACTAAAGTGTTATACCTGAAGATCCAGCAAAAACATTGCTGGCGCTTTCAATATGAGCATATACAAGCATATACAAGCATATAGGTGGCTATAGTGCCATCTGTGAGATACTAACCCTTTCAAAATACAGTGCAACCTCTTTAATCGGAACAGTCGTTCCGATTAGCGGTAGGAATAAAAATAGCACATATTTTTAATATTAGTTTATTTTACACATAATGCGAAATCGTAAAGTGCCAAAAAAAGAATTATTTTATCAATAACACTTTTTTCAACGAACAGTACCCTACATATTTCCTCGAATATACATATTATGTAATTAACAATCTCTTAATTGGTAGGTATGTACATATTATTTCCCATTTGTTGAAATGTTAGCAAATTTTTACTGATTTGTATAATCTCTTGTAAAAAACAACGTCTTTTAAATTGATGTTTTTTAAACTTTCGGGAATATCAGTTTCAGAATCCACAATCTTTTTAAGTAAATTTTTATTATAAAACAATGTCATACTTCGAATAACGAGCTGATCCAACGTTCCGATTAGCGGGGTTCGTTCCAATTATGACGTTCGATTAAAGTGTGTTCCGATTAAAGAGGTTGCAATGTATGTATTGCCTAGTCGCCTAGCAATGAAAAATAAGAACAGTGGCGCCATCTTGTGTTCAAGATGAGTTAAAGGTTTAAAATGGTTCTGTCGGATGGAAAGTAAAAATCCTTTCATAAAAGTACACTTTTCCGCCTGGCCGAAGATAAATAGAAAAATGATACCACTTCAGTGACACTGAAATTATTTGCAACACTGCCGACTTGATTGATTTTACTTACTTTCCATCAGCATACTTTGCCAACTTGTGCAATGCAAAAGGCAATGTATAAATCAAATCCAAGCGAATGACCAAAATTTCTGTGTTATGTGCCGCGGTTTTAATATGGTTCAAGATGACGCACGGGTTGATGACGTCAGTTACACGAATCGCTTGAACGCGTGTTGGTTTTAACCGGGGTTTTGTTGCAGGTTGTTTATTTTAGAAAAGCGCGTATATAATTTCTGATTATTTTTATTATCACTTAATAATCGGTTCTTTTTCGTCTACAACAGTGTATGGAAAGTTTAAAAAAGTAACCTTCCATAATATTAATGGGAGAAGTGTTTTTGTTCCAGAAAATAATTTTTAATGATGGAACCATGCCTTTGTAGTTAAATCTAAATCTAATCTTTTCCGCATACCAAAGAAAACATTTATTAATTTAGCAGAAATGATGGGAAAAGCGATGAAAAAAGATATTAGCAAAACCGTATACAGGTGGACATTATCCAGTGAATTTATATGGCCATATTTTAATATTCTTGAGGTATATCGCTACGCAGGATACTTTGTTAAGCATAGGAACCAGATTTGAAGTGTCCCCAACAACAGTAATGAGTATAACTAATAAGGTGCTCCACTTTATGCTAAAACTGAAGTCAGCCTTAATCAAGTTTCCCAAAAATGAAGCTGAAGTATACTAACAATATCCATTACCCGGCAAAATTCTAACTTGTCACATTTCAAATAATAACCAGAAATATAAAACTACTCCTGAGATAGGTAAATACCACAATTTTGCGGTGATAACTATGACATATAACAGCTGATTCATGACGTCACGGATCTTATAACCAAACTGATAACCACAATCGCTTGAACGGATCGATAGATACCAACCCAAAATGATAAATACCATTTTCATTTGGTTATCCGCTTGAATTTGATTATAGATAGATATACAGTAGCTAGTACTTACCATGGGATTATTCTTCGAAACTCCCGTTCTAACCATGGCATGTCCGCCTGAGGCAATGGCCCAAACAGATATCACAGTGTCATCATAATCTTCGACAGGTTCCAAAGTTACTTCTAGCAGTTTTGTGTGGCCCAGCTCTTGCCAAGGTCCCGTTGTTGCTATGGCACAACGCCTAATAATACGGAACTTATCAATATCAAAAATAATCTTATCATAGACGTTAACATTTTTCGTTAATAAAAAGTAATTCAATACACAGGGTGTACACATTTCAAATATGAATTACGCGCCAACCGTATACGTGAGGAAGTGGGGACAGGTCTTGATCGACGCGTTCGGCGTGAGGGTTAAATAGTCACAATGAAACGTTGGACTGGTGCGCAACGTGCTTTTGCTATCGAGGCTTAGTTTAAGAGTGGTGATTCATACGCAGCTGCCCTACGGAAATTTCAACATTCGCCGGCTAAGAGAAGCCCCAAGATCCTATTGAAAAAGTGGATTAAAAGGTTCCGTGAAACAGGTTCTACTGTTAGGGCCGTATCGTCAGTCGTTCCTACAATTGCAGGACGTCTTTAGCGCCTCCTTGATTAGATTGCACTTGTACCGTGTCAGCGTAAGCGCTTTCCTATTTTCAGGCTGATTAAACATGATATAAATCAAAAGCATGAACAATTTGATGCAAATAGATATTTGTGACATAAACTTAAAATAGAGCGCTGACACGAAAAAGTAGGAAACTATGAAAAAAATAAAGGCATCCTACAATGGTAGGAACGGCGATACGACCCTCAGTCAACCCATTCCTGGCCCCACCCCTACTGTATCAACCGAAGAAAATGTGCATACAGTAAGTGATTCAATCATTGCAAATCCTCGGCGTTTTGTAAGAAGCATTCCACTGCTTTGAGAATCCCTAGGTCAACACTGCATAGTATAAAGGAGAAAAAAATGGGTTTTTATTCTTATAAAATCTACTCAGTCATTGCTTTAAAGGAAAGTGATTACGTTTTACGGAAATCTTGTGCTGAACGGATGTGGAATCTTTTTCCTACGCGGCGCAGACTCGAGAAAGTTGTGTTCAGTGAAGAGGCCCATTTTCACTTAGACGGTTATGTGAACAAGCAAAATTGCAGATATTGGGAGCCAACGAACCCAAAGAGAAACATCAACAACAGCTACATAGTCCAAAGGTGACTGTTTGGTGCGCCATACCATCTAGCGGTATTATTGAGCCGTATTTCTTTGAAGATAAAAACGGTCATGCATTGACAGTCAATTCCGAAAGATACAATGACATGATTGATACTGTGTTGCTCCTATTGTAAGAACAGAACGGCGATTCAACAAAAACATGGTTTCAACAGCATGCTGCCGCTGCCGATACTTCCAGAGAATCGATGGACACGGTGAAAGCACTTTTTCCTCAAAAAGTTATATCGAAGTTTAAAGACAATCACTAGCCTCCTCGGTCACCCGACCTCACGCCATGCGATTATTTTTGTGGGGTTATCTAAAGTCAAAAGTGTATTCCAATAATCTACTAACCCTGGAGGAGCTTAAAGACAACATTCGACGAGACATAAACAACATCACTCCGGAACTCTGCAAGAGAATGTTTCAGAATTTGCGCGCGCGATTAGAAGGGTGTGTCCGAAGGGATAAATAAGATAAATAAAATCTGCCGAATTTACGAATATGTTGTTAGCAATAAATATTTTCTTTTCATTAAGTTTGCATTTTTTTTCCTAAATCAAAAAGTCAACTTTTCCACTGGACACCTTGTACTTGGTTAGTGTTGCACGAAACTTGATGCACCTCAGGCCATTACCAACAAGACGTGACACGATATGAAATCTGACAAGAAGTTTCACATGAAACATTTGTACGGCAGCTGGCAACCTAGCAAAACATTTTTTGTCGATTGCTCCGCTGGCCACAGCAGGAAAAGCAGTAATGTAGATCTGACAACCTCAGTTGACATTTTACATAATTACATTTTGTTTTTCATTGGTTATGTATAAGCCAAAGGTATCACATGTAATATTACCTATATAAAATGTGTATTTTGAATTGGAATTGATTTTACATAGCCTTACTTATTTTCGCCAGGTTACTGTTCAATATACTTATGTCACATTTTATATCGTGTCATGCTGACGGTCATTCACGCCCTATTGTGGAATTGTCTCATCTAAGCTCTTTTTATATATCATAAGAATTTTTAGTTAGGTATCTGCTGGAATAATACGAAAGGTTTGAAAAGCAGTTGGTTAAAGTCAGTTAAAAACAGAAAAAAAACCATGATACCACTCCAACGGGATGTTAAAATCAAAAGCTTAAAACATTTTAATATGGCGTTTTCTATAAATAATGATAAAAACATACGGAGAAATAAATCAAAATGTCTTCAGTTACCTATACCAGCGTCTTCTCCTAACATAATCAGTGAATTGCTTGTTGGCGTGAAAAGAAGCAGGGAAGTCGACAGCATATTGCCAACCTTCTTTATCTACGCCACCTGGAACGTGAAAGTCCACCATCCAATCAGAAACCCATTGCCATCGAGACGAATATAGTTTCACTTGATCTCTGGTTCGTTTCACCTTACCCGTGGCATCGCTCCACATGTACCTATCCGTTGGCAGACCTAAAAATTACAGTGATGTTACCTGATCGCTCAAAATCAGGGTCTTTATCTGCAAAAAGCATTTTCGTTCTAAAGTGACTTAACATTTTATCTGCAAGCTCATAAACACACAAAAACGGCGTTTTCGATGAAGAGAAATCGACAGAAAGAAATTGTAATTTAAAGTGATCTTGACAAAGTATACTTCAAGTAAAATTCATACTCATAATGTACCTGCAGAGGTGTATCCTGTCACCGGGTTCCACCGTTGATTCTCGTACACTCTGAAGTCTTGCGAATCGGTCATCGGGTGCACGTTATGGCTATCTAAGGTCCCCAGAAAGCCACCTCCCCAGCCTCCGGTGTATACCCAGGGCGTATGGTCGTACCCGATACCCCACGCTACGCCAATCTTGCAACTCTCTACTCGGCGCAGATGTCCGCCCAACTGGCGCCAGTACAAGTTCAACATGTCTAGGATTATCCTAGGACTCTTGATTACCACCTATAGAAGCGAACCATTTTTAATAGGACAGGTTTCACAGTATTTGAAGTATAACAGTAAAGCTATAGAAATTAATTTCAACATCTTTAATTGGTAATTAAAACCCCTAAAATCTGTGCGAGACATTCAGTACAAATGTGACAGGATTCTTAAGGTAATAAGATCGCCTCCGAGTCTTGTCTGCAAATGAGGATGAAACAATTTGAGGAGGTTCTCATTCCATACAAGCGCTGATTTCCATGCAGGTCCAGCTAATTCGAGTACGGGTCTAATAAACGTCTTGTAAAGAAATGAAGGAGTTTTCAATAGAAAGCAAATAATGTTGAACTGTTGCAACATTAATACCGCATCATTTAGCCGAGTAGAAATAATGTTATGGTGTAACGTAGCCCTTTGTAGCAGTTTTTTGTTTCGTTTTACAACGTACAGTCCCAGATTTGACCAAAAAGATACATCAAACCTAAACCAAAGCAGTCGACCACTTTGTAAATTTACAAAGCTCTTTAATCCTGCGTCGGATTTTGACTTCAGTATACTCCTATAAGTATATACAAATCTGGTAAGAACTTAACATAACAACATATTGTTTCACGCTCAACACGAATCTGAAGTTACAATTGGGGGAAGATGGACAAATATAAAATATAGACGTCCGACGAGACTACAGATTCGAGTTCAGCTTAAAAAGGTGCATGGTAGAAACATAGCGGGGGCCCCAAGCACATACCACTTTCTTATTTTGCGGGCCTATAAATAGAATAAACGAAACCTTCGGAATAGCGTCACCAATAGTGTTCCGCTTCCACTAAAGGCACAGCAGTAATCTGTGGATTGCCAATATGAACTTTTTTCTATATTCTCTCGAAATAAAAAAAAGAAACGTAGGTTTGTCAGGTGCAAAATAGAAAAATGATTGGTAAGAACTAGATGGTTAGCCTTTGAACTATTCCCAATATTTGCTGGCAAGGTGGTGTCCTACAACAGTACTTACCCTGAAAGGTTTTAACTTGCCCCAGAAACTCAACACACACGCCGACTGTGGCGGCAACCTATGCCTGTAGAGACAGAACTTGTCCTCATTAACAAATATCAGGAAGGCATCCTCGGTAGTTTCTATCCTCAGATTGAACTCCTGACCTCTCACGAAAGGGTTTCCGCCCTCTGTCTCTTCGGTCATCCACTCGCCCTCGATCATGGAGTTGCGCACCACGCAATCGTCCTTGAAGCGAGGGTTCAGGTGCAGGCATGTGTTCTCGAGCTCCGTGAAGGTTTTTTGCTTCGGCTTGTACGTAGATGGTGCTTCCAGGTTGATCCCTAGTCTTTCTGCTTCGTCACCTAAACATATGCATTAGAAAAGTACGGCTGAAAACCATCGATATAACGTATAGTCAACAAAACCATAAGTTCAACCTGAATTTTCCAATTTTCGATTTTTTGAACCATTCTTTTGAACTGTCTCAAAAACTTTCCATTACCTGTCAGAGTTTCGCAAATATATACTACAAATTTGTAATTCCATTCTAGTTGTATTGGTCTAATGGTTTTTGGGGCTTCTTGTGATAAAAGTATTTGGAATTCCTGAATTAATTTCCCTATGGATACGTAGCCTAATCAAATGCAGATTTTTCTGACAAGATTCTGATCTACAGACTGAATGGGATCAGAGACTAGGACACTTACCTATACATCCCGTAAATGTAATAACGGTACCAGGACAGCAACCAACGTGAAGAGCCACCTTGAAAGGCGATGCCTTGCCTGTAAGATCAAACTTCTGCACGTAGCACTCATCCTCACGCAGCTGATTCGCTTCCATCCGCGTGGGATCCCAAACAAATGTGTCACCATAGGTGGTAACTGCCCATACACTTTCGTCACTAGGCTTTTCTGTTGTACCACGAAGTTTGCCTAGATAAAATCAGACTATTGTATAAATCTGTCCATCCTCGAGGTTTATTACTTGAGTTGCAAGAATTGTGGGGGGTGACTTCCTAACTGTCAGAGGCTGACAAATTCATCATCCAGACAAATTGATAATGTCATGTTACTTAGCTACGCACTATCGTAACTATCAGAACTCGTGTAAATAATCTTATGTAATCTGGAAAGTTAGAAGTAGATAGCTCGGTCATGTCTAAGATTATAAAAAGACAAATATATCTATTGCTGATCAGCTGTTCACGTCGGTAGACGTCAATTCGCAATGCAGTATCGTGCGAAATAGGTTACCGTCCTATCAAACGCTTGTTTTAATGATTGATACACATTTATGGACTGTGCATCTTCGGGACATATTAGGCTCATCTCGTTTGAACCACATTTTAGAAACCTTCTCAAAATACAAGATAGTTAATAGAAAATATAAGATGGAACCGTTGAAATCAAAAATGATCTTTATGCAACTTATTAACAGCTAAATCAAAATTAATATTACTCATGGCCGTATGTACCGCCGTCATTGTTTACTTATGTCGATACAGCAAAGTGAAAAGATGCTAAGCTGATTTTAAAATTAAGCAACTCAAATCATAGACTTAAAGAGTTAAAACGTTCTTTGTTCCCGTTGATGAATGTTATACGTGTCAAAATTAATAAATCATACGACGAAGTTGGAATATTTACATCGAAAATTACATCAAAAATGGGTTTGTCAGAAGACTGTACCAAGGAGAAATTTATTTTTGTAATATAGATCCTTGCAGAGGAGATTCAGATCGCAAGAAAACCAGCCGGAAAGTTTGGGATAAAAGAAACTCGTCTAAACTTTGTATTATTGTATTTTGTGGCAGTTAGTATAAAAATGTTCGTAGGAGGTCTGCTCGTGATTCAGAGTAAGAAAAATATAGCCCTGCAAAGTGAAAAAAAATATGGTCAACTAGTTTTGAAATTGAACAATAAGTTTTGACTTTGAAATACTTTCGACAATTCGACCTCCAACACACTAGCACCTCCTAGCGGGAGCAAAATTGAACATTGCTGCCATTCTTTTGTGGTAACCATACGCCAAGTCCAAATAGGTAATTATGAGGTCTGTTTATGGTCAGTATTAAATTTCATGTTCAACGTAGAAACATGGATGCTTCTGAAAGTACAGAGACAATTTCTAATGACTATAGAACCTTGTACACAACAGCTATAAAATATGGAGATGTATTTTCTATACAACTGTTTATCACGTTCAAAAGTTTCTATACAAATGTTTGGTCATTCGGACATAACCGAATGCATGTAGAAAAGTCAATTAAGTAATATGAAGCAAGACGGATCGCAAGCTGCTGCGAAGTATTTAGACTGTTTTAATACACATGAGTAACTAAATTTATTATTCACCTTATACACATGTTAAATAACAACAAGTAGTTACACCAGCCAGCGCACTACATTATACATAGTCATGCCATAAGTTCTGTCCCTCGTTTTCAAACAAGTGTAGACCTGTTAATACTTGTCCGATTGTTTACATTGTGGTGTCAGTTGATTAAGCGCTTTTCGGGTAATTACATATACCTCAGTTTGTATTGATCTCTCGAAGCATAACGATGGAGTGGGGCAAGGCAGAGAACCGTATTGCAGTGATAGCTTTACATAAGTGTAATCACAGTGCTAGTCAGATTTTTGAACTCTTACGCGGCCTTCAAATATCGCGTAAATTTGTGTCTAGGACCATTCAGCGGTACAATGAGACGTCCTCTGTTGATAACAGGCCAAGAAGCGGAAGACCTCGTCAAGTAAGGACTCCAGCAGCCATCAAAGCCGTAAAAGCCAGGATTCAAAGGAATCCACTCCGGAAGCAGAAGATCCTATCCAGGGAAATGAAGATTCCTGTCCGGACGATGTCGCGCATCATTAAACAAGACCTAGGGCTAGGGGCTTACCGGAGACGTACGGGCCAGCGACTTACGGCCACCTTGCGACACATCAGGGCGACAAGATCCAAGAAGCTCTTGGAGAGGTACGCAGCTGGGGGATTCCGAAAGATTTTGTTCACGGATGAGAAAATCTTCACCATAGAAGAAAAATTCAACCGACAAAATGACAAAGTGTATGCAAGGAGTTCACAGGAAGCTTCGGAGATCATTCCGAGAGTTGAGAGAGGCCACCACCTTGCGTCAGTCATGGTTTGGTGGGGGGTGTCCTACGAAGGGGTCACTCAGCTCCATTTCTGTAAACAGGGCGTGAAAACAAAAGCGGCAAACTATCAGAGCGACATACTGGATCCTATCGTCAAGCCTTTAAGTGGTACATTGTTTGCCAACCAACACTGGGTCTACCAGCAGGATTCCGCCCCCGCTCACAAGGCTAAGAGTACGCAGCGCTGGCTGGAAAGCAATGTGCCAGAGTTCATTGCTGCGGAAGATTGGCCCTCAGGGAGTCCGGACCTCAATCCTTTAGACTACAAGTTGTGGGACCTGCTAGAGCAGTTGGCCTGCTCCAAAGCTCACCGTAATATCGAGTCCCTGAAAGCGGATTTGATCCGATCAGCGGCAGCTATTCCTTTGGAAGCTGTGCGTGCAGTGATAGATGAGTGGCCCGCGAGATTGAAGCAGTGTGTGAAGGCCAAGGGGGGACATTTTGAATAAAACTGTTTGATTATGAATTCTAAAAATGTTGTCGAATAAATAATATCTTTCATATAAATATATCTTATCTTGTTTCATTTTTATCATGAGATTATCATGGGACAGAACTTATGGCACGACTACGTACATTTTGTATTTCATTTCATGATCCTTGTTATAAATACGAAATACGTTTCTCTTTAGTAGAAGAAAATGAATAGCAACTCACCACAAGTTGTTGCAAAATGAGCCTGCCACTCTTCAAGCAACGCATCACTACTGAACACAAGCCGAATCACTGGTGTACGGTATCTAGGGACATGTATGGCTAGACGAGGACTGCCTGGTTCACTGCACATCTGCACGCACGATATATCGTTTAGGCTGATAATGTGCTGAACATAAAAAACAAGAAATCGTTACTGAAGACATACAATGTGACCGAATAGAAGTATTATTTCTAAAAAAAACTATTTAGTACTGATGTAAAAAACTCAAAAGATGAACAAGCTCTCATTTTTTAATTTTTGAAGAAAATCGTATTGATATAACTTTGGGTAAATCGCTCGCGACGGGTTTAACATCTATTTTTGTTCCGGTCGAAGTGGGTATCGATAATATAATCAAGTGTTAAGGACAAATATACGGGATAATTTATATGTGAAATGTCTCATGTGTATAAATATACTAACGCCAAAAAATTGAAATGTACTCTCCCTCATCCTCTGCAATACCCTAGCACCAATTTTTTGACCCCCTAGGTATTTACGAAAAAAAATGAGCAGGAGTCTCTGGGACGTCAAAAAATCTGGTTTGGGCGATTTTCTTTTTTGTTTGCTGCTCCGCCCCCACTGTATAGATCTTCAAAAACTACTAAGATGTTTCATTCTTGACACAGTAGTAACCATGTGTTAAAATTTCAGTAAAATACCACCGGTAATTTCCAATTTATAGAGAGGCCAATGATTATCGACTGATAGACCTATGAATATCGTGATCTACATGTTATTTTACTATCTCAAAAATATTTTCATTTTCAATATTTTTGACGATTGACTTAGGAGGTAGAGCGGCGCTTGGGCAAAAATAAACATATTTTATAACACTGTATCGCAATTTTCTAAGCTTCGTATACATAAATAATTACTGACGTCCTGGGTACATGGTCTATAAATATCACATTCCATGATAAATACTGATGGATCACAGTAAATAATGAACGTATGACATTCGCCTAGGAGTTAAAAAAAATGCCGAAAGCAGTTTGCAATTCATTAGAGTCAACTTTTAAGGCCCAAAATGATAAATTTGCCAATCGCAAAATTGATGGGGGAACATTTGAAAAATGGCATTTCCAAATTCTCACCGCTCGGTGAAAAATCGGACTGCGAATCAAACATCATACACGTGATTACTCACCAATGTGCTTGCTCCATCGGAGTTGAGCACCGTAAGACTCCCTGCGCCTACGACACTTCCAGTATTCACCAATCCTCCTTCCTGTACCCACTCTAGTTCCAGTAGACAATCAATCCAGTTTCCTGGGTCACCACCCCGTTGCACCCTAGCCTCGCCTTTGTGCACCCATGAAGTTGCTGCTTCACCCGGTCGTTCGTAGTGCGCGAAGAGGTCGCCAGGTGGCGTGCGGCGGCGCAATTCGCGCAAGATACTCTGCCGCCAGGAAGCGTCCAGATCCAGGGATGTGGTGGAACCGCAACCGGAGGTGTCACCGAACCAGTTCGGTAGTGGAGCGGAGGGGTCGACCGTACAGGCACCAGCCTCTATCTGAAAACATGTGTTATTGGTGATTTTAAGAGTAGAAAATGAAGTTAGGTGGAATGACTGATCGATGCAAGCCGAACATCTTCATTTTTAGATACGCATGCCAGCTGCATGAGGTGCATCTATATAGTAAAAGTAAATAACCACAAGCGATTTTTCAAACTACCATTTATAGTTGTTTGGAAGACAATGAGTGGAATAATTCAGAACTCGATAAAAGCTAAGAGGTCGACAAAAAGGAAAGCATAGATAGTAGAATGTCTCTATGGTGAAATCTGTGTCACGTGGGGGCAATTGAGGACTGTTTAAAACAAATTCTTAATAGTATACAAGTATAGCTCAATTCTTTAAAAGAGGTAACTGATAGCGCGATTGAAGAAACTAACCATCTAGTGCCGAAAGGTTTGTATTTAAGTCTCAAAACGTACCTGAAAGTTTAGTTTGATCGTTTATGTTCTTTGTCTGGGATGTTGTTTCACTTTGCATAAGCGCTGACTCTTGCAGTGTGAAAAGATGTACAACACAAAATTTAAAATTACAGAATGATGGAGGAATCAAATAAGTCCACGACAAAACAGGTCCGCATTTATTTATAAAAGCTTGCACGCAATTTCCCTGAGTATATTTTTCTATTAGAATTGCTCTCCTATATTACACATGTAAAATCATCTCAAATTTGAAGTTATATTTTCCGATTCTAGCTGAATACAATTTCTCCTGTACTTACCCATGACCAAGATGCTTCAAATTCTGCCCATCCTAGTTCCTCATCTTCAGCGAATATACAAGAAGAGGACTCCCCGACACTCCACACGCTACCATCGGTATCAGGACGTGCCTCAGTCGCCAACACAGAACCAGCAGAATGCACTGGGCTCCAAGCGCGGGGATGCCTTGGTTGGGTTTCATAACGTGCCCCAAGGTCACCTTGTTGATAAATAAAAATAATATATGCTCATTCGCGATATTTTCTTCTACGAACGTCATTTTAGACTTTTTTCACTTTTAGGCTAAATATAACACACGTTGGTCCTAAGGTTTAAAAATATGTGTGTGTATTTATTATTGTCCTTTGAGCATATAAGCGTATCAGGAACGTACCGTATCTTGATCAAGGATCGTGATTCAAAGGCATGGAGTAAAAAATGAAAAAGAGTAAGGAGAACGTGTGTTGGTTGGATATGTCCTGGTATTACCAATGGTTCATAAGACTCCAGAAATGAATGGGACCATAAATTATGCATTAGAAAATAAAAGGGCGCAATTTTTGCAATAAAAAATTGAAGTTAAGACATACCTGCAGGCAGAGATGCGGCTGCTGTTGGAGCCGAGTGCGATTGCTCGCCATCTAATGAAGTCACATGTTGTTCTATCATGCTGCTAGGTCGACTTTGCTGCAAACATGTGCTCAGTGGCAGAATATAAATCAATTTTCACACCGCTAACTGCATGAAACCACATTGCTAACCTCATGCAATTCCTCTGACGTTAAATATTCAATCTATCAAAATCACAGTTTAGCACTGAACTGATGGATTATAATCAGGATCATTATTTCTGTTTTTTTATGTTTAGTTTTAATGGTTGCATAGTCTCAACTAATAAATGTCGTTCACCTGATTACCATTTCAAGTGGCAATATTACCACTTAGTTCGACTTACCAAGTTATTGAAACTCCGATGTAACCTGTCGGATCCGAAGCTAGCACTACTACTCGCTCTGCTAACTTGCATGGGTGCTCTTAGGGCGCGCCACTTCTTGCCCGTTTTATCTTCTTCAGTAACACCGAATCGGTAATATGCCAATCTGTCATCTGCTCCCACTGCAAGCACCTGTACAACACACACCAGAATAATTCCTACCAATATTATTATGTATGTAAACCCCATTACGCCAGGTGAAAAAAATCAATCCTATTGGCCAGCAGACCATAAACGCCTGAGCGTGGAAGCGACAATGATTAAGTATGAAATAAAAAAATATAAATAATTTTACTTAATACCCTACACTTCTCCTACCTGATTGTTTGCAGCAACTGAAATTTGTGCCATTCGCCCAATCATCTCGACCCAACCACTGCCTGTGCAAAGACTTTCGCACATAGTAGCCATCCCATTCACTTCTTTTCTAAACCAGACGTGCTTGTCCTGAGTTATAGCCCAAACTGCATTAGTACCAACTGATACCTGAGTAATCTGCCAAGAAAAGAAAGCACATTATTTAGACGCCGTAAATATTTACGCGGTCGTATAAGTGAGTTTTGTCCAAAATTTGTCCTTAATTCATAGATGTGTAGAACAACTTTATGATGTTTCTTATCCACTATTTATTCAAATATTGTTAATTATTAACTTAATCATCTTTAGCCGCTCGTGCCATAAATTATCTGATTTCTTTGGTTGATTCATGTGACGCCACACACTACCATTTACTGTGAAGCAATATAATTATACAAATGTAATTTGATGCACAAACCTTAAGGCCATCACCAGGAGGTTTGACATCCACCCAAGAAGTGCCTTGGAGGCATTCCCTGCTCACACCCACCCTTACTAAGGCACGTCCGTCTAATAAGGCCGCCCAAACTAGTCCTGTAGGACCTACGTTCAATTGCACCACCTCACAACCTTCAGGAGTTGGAATCGCTGACCATCTGGACCCTTCAGGAAAGGAGGTACATACTCCACTACGAATCATCACCTGAAAGCAACAGGTAATCAACTAAGCACACTATCTCAAGATATTTGCCACATACCGCTGTTTGGGAATCGAAAATTAAAACAAAAATATTTGAATCTGACATGACAGGTAATAAAAATTAGTTACAGAATATGGTCTGCTTACTCTATTATGAGACGTAACTCCCCAAACCATCAATGTGCCTGGATCTGCTCCTGGGATATTCTGTCCTCCAATGGAGACATCAATAAAAGGTTCCTAGGATCAAAGAGGAAGTGAATCAGGCGACTGTCACATAGTCAGTATTTACTGTAGCCTATACCGTCGGTAATTCCTGATGCTTCCGTTAGTTTGAGTGGATTTCTACTTAACTCCATACATCAACAATTACTGACGTCCAGCCTACATAACCAATAAGTATCGTATTCCATGATAAATACTAACGGAAATCCGAAATTGTCAATGCTCGATTCCTCTATCAATTGATCAAAGTTTTTTATCAAAGTCAGTGTGAAATAAAAAAGGAAGATAGAATGAAATGTAAACCAAGAAAAGTACATCATAGCATTGTTAACTGGTATTCAGAAATTGATCTAGAATATCAAATTTCTTGTTTACACATTTGATTTCAGTTAAATCAAATGGTATGATTACCTTATGACTTTATCGTAACTCTAGCTTAATTTTCAATAATAAATCATGGAAATGTACAAGCAACAAAATTAAGCTTGTAGTCATAAAAAATCTAAGGATAAAAACAGAAAGCATGATTTCTAGAAATGGACTATGTTACTACTACCGCACTGAAAAGCGACATTTTACGCATATTAGGCTAAATATAATTATTGCATGAAATAGCTCCTCAAGCACTATGTTGGGGATCACCCTAAGTGAAGACTTATTCTAGGTATCTATTTAGTATTCATAAGCTTACATAGGAAATTGCTTTTTAGCACACATTATGAACCACCCCTGTATAATTCCATTAACATTATTTTATTAGAATACATTGTTTGTATCTTAAATACTTACGTTCGTGGCATCCTTATGCAATGGAGCTATAGCACACCAAGAATTCATAGCGCTATATTTCCTAAACCTCACCCAAAGCCTTCTTCGCACGCAGCTGGACCACTGCTTTTTGTGGTAGAAAGTGCTGGGAAAGTCCACAGCATATGTCCATCCGTCATGGTCCAAAGGTTGACCCTCAAGCGTGAGTTCTTTCTTCCAGTCACCTTCCCACTGCCACGCCATCGATGGGAGGCGAATTTTATCGATGGATCTGTCTTTGGTTCCATCAGCGTTGGAGAAGTGGAAACGGTCAGTGGGGAGTAGTCTTGATGAGAAACCCTCGATAGGAAGCCACCTCTGTGTTGACAAAAGGGTAACATTGTACTCAATTTTGAAATACTCCTTTCAAGACATGTGGCTAAAAACTTGAAGGAGTGATTCTTAGAATCATTTTACATTTGGCCAACATTCAAAAAACTGTTTCATTTGGAGTTACACAGTTGACAAATGTAACAATTTTTCTTGACAAAAATACTCTTATGCAAAAAGTATTCATTTGGTAGATTGTTAAAAAATTTTAAACACATGTAAATAGGGCTTTTTTCTGTGGAGGATAATCTGTGTATTGGATAAGTAACATTGACTGTTTGAGTATCATAAACAGTTTGCACCTCAAGCTCAAATAAATTTTTATTTTTGAAAAAAAATATAAGACACTCATACACATAGATGGCATACACAGTCATGATTTTTTTCAGTTTTAAACACCCCCTGCAAGTTTCATTGAAATTTAGTCCCTTTAGCAGACGTACTGCTCTTTTTTGAACAACAAAATTTTTTGAATAAACCTATTGCTTCCCCAAAAAATAATCCCATACTTTAGAACACTTTAAAAATTAGCATGGTACAATATTTTCATACTCGTATTATTTAGATATCTTGATATCACCCTAAAACCATAGCAAATGGAATTGAGCCTCTTCAGCAGTTCGAATACATGTGTTGTCCATCAATATAGATGCCTAAGAATTTTACACTTTCACTCAACTGCAGTTGATAATCATCTATATCAATATATTGTGGCTTAACGACTTTACTCTGCTTAGTTCTAAATAATGTTGCATCAGTTTTGGATTTATTCAGCACTAGTTTGTTCTCAGAAAACCATGTATTCACACTTCTGAATAAGAGATTCCCATTAGCAGTTAGGTCCTCTAAAAAAACTACAAACAAAATGGGCCCAAGTATACTACCCTGTGCTATGCCGGTTGAAGTCAACTCAATGTTTGACTTGTAAGTTTGACCTCCTTTAACAATTTCAACCCTCTGTTGTCTATTATAGAGGTATGACTTGAACAATTCAAGCGCAGTTTCTCTTACACCATATCTTTGTAGCTTTAATAACAATATGTCTCTGTTGATGCAATCATAAGCTCTAGACAAGTCCAGGTAGAAACCAACCGCTAAGTTTCCCTCCTCTAATAGCTTAAGTACTGTTTGAACAAATTGAAAGATTGCAGTATCTGTTGATCGCCCATGTAGGTAACCATGCTGATGTGTATTAAATAAATTACAGTCATTCATGAATTCTAATAATCTCTTACTGATGCCCAACTCAAATAATTTTGAAAAACCTGTTAAAATATTGATTGGCCTATAATTTTCCAATTGCTCTGGATTACCTTTTTTAAAAATTGGTTTTATAACAGCTATTTTCAAATTCTCTGGGAATGATCCTTGTCTAAAAGCATTATTAATAAGTAAGCACAAAACATGTTTTAAAACTGGAAGTAAGGCACCTTGCCATGTAATCTGATGCATAGAACCTTAGAAGTTACTAACACATGTTACATAGAACTTTAATACAGTTAAAAAAACAACTGCAAAAAGTATGATTAATAACTTTATGAAAACAGAAGTTATTTTTAAAACTTGTAAGTTGGCACTTTGTTCCACATTTTGCCTTGACTTCTCATCCATAAAATGACCATCTCCAGGTTTGAGCTTGGCAAACATAGCTATTATAACATCACATTTTTCCACTTGACTCATCTTTTACTAATGTTTGCAAAGTAATGATTAATATTGGATTATCACATTGTTTAAATATTATCAAAGCAGATCATTTTATCAGTTTAAGAACAATGCTCCAGTATAAATCACAAACAAAAATTATTAATTTTAGGTAATAAATGACAAATGACCTAATTGTTTTAAAAGCTATTACCAAAAAAATGAGGCTCTACTAATCCAATAAGATACATATAAGACAATAAATTGAACAAGCAATATATTAAAATAAAAGCTACAATAACACTTTATTCCTGGAATCGTAAAATATAATTATGAAATAAGGCCTGAACTGATGGACCAGCAAGCTATGACTAAAGCTATCTACAGACAATCAAAAAAACTGCATACCAACTGCCCTGACTTGGCTGATCCTTGGGCCAGAGCTAAATAGAGCTGATTTGAGAATTATACCATAAATTATAGGATACCACATATAAATCCGCTGAGAGAATGGAATATTAAATATAAAAACTGATTGCAAATTCTGCCGTATAATACAAAAAAGTGCATACAGAACTTTATTATGAATTTATTACACCAGCTACACTTACTTCATTTTCATAAGCTTCTTCTCTGACTCTTATAGGAATGTCCAAGCCATGAACGTAGACGTATATCTGATGATCTCCTCCAAGGGCCCAAAGAAAATGAGGTACAGCTGATAATTTCTTGAATTCTTGACCACCGTACGGCAATTCTCGCCACCCTGTTCCTGTTGTTGAAAGTGTATGAACTCTTCCTTCGCCATTTATACCAAACAGAAATGAAGTAGGCATTGTTTTAAATTACTTTCGCATTTTTCCGACACTGAAGTATCTATAAATTTTATTTTAGTCCAGCATTATTTGAATAATATGGTATTGATGTTTTGGTACATGACAATACACGTGACACGGAACATCATGAAACATAACCTAACTCTTGAAACACTAGAACTGTCAGTTACAGCGAATAGAATCATAGAGCAAGAAAGTAAGACGGATGCATGATCTCCGGAAAACGTTGTAAAATGGTGTCAAGTAGATTGACTCAGTACTTTCCGACATTCATATTCATATAGGTATACATTATTATCAGGTTTTTCGGACATTAAAAATTGCATGTCTGGAGCATAAACAACAGAATTGGAAAATGTTGGATATAATGAGGCCCGCTAAGTATTAATATTATTGAATTTCCCTAAAAAACGCTCTGATACGTGTTGAGTAATTCGATGTAAGTTTTCATTACAAATTACAAATACATACTATATTGGCTACATCATCTCGTGTGATGTGTTTGTGGCTCAGTGGTTTGCGGTGGATAGTGGGTAAACTAATGGGAAGATATACTCCGAGAGGACAAGTCCACCAAACCTTGTGCCGCACATTCGTTTACAAGCATTTTGTACATAGCTCCAGCATTGTGTACTAGCGTGTATTAGGGAATAAAGAACCGGCACTCGCACAGATAATAAGGAATTGCATGGCTCTGTATGTCAAGCCCTGGGATTTTTGGAACTTTAGCGTCAAACTCAGTTTTGGAGTTGAAATCAAGAAAAAACGCACTGCCAATCTAGTTTGTTTTATCTATCTTATTACATTTATATTATGTATTATTATTACATTTATATTATTTTTTATATGAAAGAATATTCCTAGGCGTGAATTGGTCTTCAGCAAACTAATAAAAGTAGTGACTCCTCGCAAAATATGCGATAGAACGCGAACGAGAATTATTGTAGTTGTAGTCATAAATCAGATTCATATTTTTAGTTAAAAGTAAAAATTTATACATCTTAGCCTCGAAAGTAACGAAAGAACTAGGACAACGTTTTGTGTTCCAGTTCTTCATTCTGATTCAAACCTGAAACTCCGGAGGACTTTCGGGAACGGTGTTAACCGGAAATTTCAGGATCCGTACGGGTATTAACTATTTTGAAAAGGGACATTTCGTCGGTTCTTTTTACATTTTGTAGGTTTTTTGTAACATAACGTAGGTTTTGCTACAAGATGTAAACTTAGCACAAGCTATTGTACACTTGTTGTGAACTCGTTTTTTAGCTGTACTTGTTGCTTGAACGTCACCAAACAGTGATCGTAGCGAGCAAACGTGGAACACTAAAAACTATCAAGCTACCAAGATGACATTTCGTTGGTTTTTTAGGTTTTTTACGTAATACCCATACTGGATTTCTCGGGCCTATTCTACAGTGTATGTATACAGAGTGCAAATTATGATGAGTCAGTCCCTGGGCCCACCTGCGAGCTGTGCGTAACTTTTATAAACATTTTTGTTCACGAATAAGCATTTCAATAGTGGTCTACGAAACTGTGATCACGGACGGGCAGGAGAACATTTGATTTGTGCAGCGGCGAGCGACGGTAATGTGCTGAAAAGGAAACGGCTAAGCAACATCGTGTTTCATGTTTTTAGTCCTATGTTTTTAGTCAATATGAAATGAGGAGCACGAGTACATTTCGTCAACGTTAATAATGATTCTATAAAAAAAAACCGAATCAGAAGAAAACCACTCTATTTGTTATGATGGGCACGTGGCCTTTCAAGTAAATCCAATGGGGTAGCATCATCAGTCTTTATGGTTTTTATCAGCTGTTGAAGCATATATTATGCTGGTCCTCAGGGAATGCGCTTTGTTTGTCTCTATGTTCGAGCAACCTTGAATTACATCCCATTTGCATGCTTGACTACAACATTATTCGCAACGAATCCAGCTAATGTACCACATTAATATGTTGATTGAAATTGAAACTACTCGAAATTATTTGTAAGTTTTGCTTCATATGTGAGCTGTTCATCTAAGAATAACTCCTTATTATCCTCTCCACCACATAAGAATACTACCAAAACGCAAATAGAATGATAGCTGATTATGTTAGACAACTGGTTATAGCCACAATAAAAAATATATTTGTGTTACCCAGCTAGACCAGCACCTCTATATTGACGATTTAGGTTTCATGGAAGATAAGTGCTACTCGTTGAACATGCCTTCAAACTAGAAATGTTGCTCGTCGGTTTGATTTCCGGTTGGATAAAGAAGAGCTGGTTTGTGTGCTGTATGAGCTACACCTATATGGCTGCTTCTGCACTGACAAATTTACTGGCAGTTGTAGCGGCATATTATAGATTTTAGCGATGTCGCCGCATTGCGCCAGGTAATAATCACATGCCCCCTGTACGTAGCGTCGCGACGCGACGGCTGGAAGCGACGTGGAGCAGCGCACACGCCCTGGCTGAACCACCAGCAACGTTGCCACATCTTGCTGGTTTTACTTAGAGGTGAGGAAATAACATAACGCGGAAAATTATTTCTATGCATTTAAGTGAAACCGGTATATTACTGGAATTTTGATTTACTTATAGGCTTTACATTTACAGAATATCTCAAATAGACGGGTTTCTGAGAGCAAATGCTCGCATGACAATTGAAGAGCGCGTGGGATACGTGTAGCGTCTAGCGGAGGAGGGAGCCCACGATTCAGGTCTAACAAGGTAATCTTTTAAGTAAGATATATGAGTACATACCATTTTATTCGAAAAGAATGGCCAGCCTGCAAATGCCTTATGATACCAACGAGCACTATCTCATATTGACTGCGCAATATTAACGATAGGTACATCTTATGGCTGGCAAAAAGGGTCAGTGGTGGACTAGTTGAAAGGCTTCGCTTTTCCACTACTACTACTAACTTATATTTGAGAAAACACTTGACTTTTTGGTAAGGCAGAATTACCTTTTTGGTTTCAGATATCTAATTATGGAATGTCATAATATCAGAAACTTATCCATGCTGACATCTCCATGTTTCTTTTGAGCCACACCAGTAAAGAGTAATTTCAACATATATGCTCTGATATATGGTTTCATTTGACCAAAGAAACATGGAGTTCACATTACTCACATTTCATGTTCGAAATATGCAACTTTATAAACACGAAACTGCATTTTTGAATGCTTCTATCCTCTTTGTAAATCCTCTAAAGCAAGTAAAAAAAATACAAAAAATTTGGAATTGCTTGAATTTTTTAACCGTTGAAAGGAATATCTACTGCTATGCTGAAAAGTTATAGGAGTTCTGGTTTAAGGTTACGACAAATAGTCGACAATGACGCAAATGACAACAGACATAAAAGAGTAAACACGTTCATAATAGACATAATATCTTAAATCTGGAAAATGCATGACTGTATCCTCGCTTATTGGCATGACAAACAAACAAAGAAAAAAAAAACGATTTTCGCATCGACACACAATCTGCGTATGTAAATATTTTCTTGCTCCCTGACTTTTATGCGATTGCACAATTCGTAATCTATGCTTATGCTTTCGTAAAATCGCTAGTTATTCACTTCTATGTTTCTATGAATGCCTTTGATGAAAATTTGGCAACGTCTTCGGGTCTGTGCCGTTATCGGTTGACGTCGGCGCCGCGGTGTGGTATCGCTGTCGCGGCGGCGCCTGTCAAACGAGCGCCGCGCGGACCCGCGACCACCACCACCACCACCGCCGCTGGCGTGTAGTGTCACCACTCACAGTGCCGTGGCGGTCGTCGAGACGTCCACAACTCCTTCATCTAACTCCTCTTCCAAACTCCTTACCGTCACCTGCACCCGACACTCACTACTCCGACACAACTCACAGTGCGGTGCGGTACGGCAACTGCGGCGCGCGGTGGCGCCTTCACACCGAACCCTGTGGGCCCCCGGCGGCCCCACAAGGCGCATGTAGCCGGGGCACCAAGACATGCCCAGGCATGGCCGGCAATAACACCGGCCCCCGCGATCCTTCTACAGGCTAGCCCAGCCAGCCACACACACTGCAGGCCATGGCCTACTATCTGATCAACACAGCCACATTGCTCTGGACCACTGCCTTGCTGTGGATCACCTCAGGTAAGATACTCATACTGCTGCATTTAATTATTACATATACATATCAGAGTATGGTCTGATAAGCCTGTTGTGTGACTGCTTTAGCCCTTTTGGATTGCTATTGCTGTATCCAAGACAACAAACCACGCCTGAATAGGTAATACGATGTGACAAGTTCGATCCTTTAAATTGACCCCAAATTATTTAAGCTCTTTACCGATTCGACTAAATTGCCCGTTTCATACTGTCGTGTTTTTTATGTCTACAAAAATGTAACTCACGTAACTCCTTATGAAAGTGTTACCCAATAATCTGGAATTTATGTTTCGATTAAACCTCAGAATTTGGACACTGGGGACAGGGAGGCCAATATCTCCTCAATTTTAAAGACAACTGCAGTGTTTTAGCTCTTTGGATGAAGGAATATATGACAACCATCCCCGAGAATCGCGGAATCGAGGATAACCCATAAGCCTGTAGTTCCTATAACTGTACTGTGTCCCCGTCGAAAGTAGTTGCTTCTTTAAAAACCTTATTCGAGCTTTGTATCGTATTCTCATATTAATAAAATAAGTGAATGCCTAGTTTAAAGTTTCGCTTTTGCTCTTAAAAGAATTGAACTGATTCAAGGGATTCGTGCTTCTTATTGCAGATTGTTTGCACAGTTCAGGCTTCAACGGAATATGTGACATTTTCACTTCAAACATCTTATGCTTTGGCCATAGGTGTTTCCATTTTCAAATACACAAATTAATACGATTAATTACTAAAAATTACAGGGTCAGGGAAGGACAGCTCTTAATACCTTACCACCAACCAAAAATGCTAATAAAATTATTTTTATAAATCCGGTATTTTGCCTGTGTATCACAAGCAAAGACGGGGACTCCGAGGGACGGTGAAGATATATCTGTTTCAAATCTGGAGTATACCTATAAATTGATGATTAATCTATGGTTGTAAGTCTTACGATGCATACTTCTGATTTTAAGTTGCTATTTTGAGTAGAACTAAGGCCTTGATTAACGTATGACTAGATCTAACATAAAAAACTTAAAACAATACCTAAATAGATAAGAGAGTGGTATGTGACAAGTTGAATCCTGAAAATTGATCCCAAATTATTTCTCCGATACCTTAAAGATTATACACAACAATAATATAATATTTATTCTAATCTCCTTTAAGTAAAGCTTGGTAAAAGTTAACATATTTCCTAAATTCATAAAATATTTAAAGTACTATACTCTATAATACTATGATAGAGATACAGCAAATACAGAAGATTGGAACCTATCGTCGATATTCTATATTTTCTTCATGTAATCTTTATATATCTTTTAAGTCAGTAAGACAAATGATATCTAAAGTTGATATTTCCAGCCTTTTAAAACAACTGTAACGTTAACCACACCTTAACAGATTCGGAAGCCGCATAAATAACATTAATTTATCATTTTCAGGATTTTTATAAGTACTAAGTGCTGTAGCATACTAAACACACAAAGCATAGAGGTAACTATCACCCCAGGGATCAACTGCCCTTTGTCGCCTCTCCCCTGCAGGTCCACTGATATTATACTTCAAGTGAATCACTTGTCCAACCAGGACAATGTACAGCTAGTTTTAGATAACTTGAGCTTAGACGCATTATTTATGGGGTCCACTGATCAACGTTTTGGGTACTTACAAGGGGTTGAAGAATATCGTCAGACAGAGAAAACAGTACGCCACTGGTTTTTACAAAATAGTATCAGCTCGTCAAAGCCTAATTGACTCTATTTAAAAGATGCCTATTAAGTTGTTTGTTCTTTCGGAATGAACAAATATACGCAAAACTTCAAGAATCAATATGGCTTTGAGAAAACAAATACTAATTGTTGCTAAAACCAGTGGCGTAATTATTTCCCATAAATGGGCAAATTAAAACACCCCCTATCATGAAAATGGGGAACTTGTTTCATATATGTATGCGCTAAGTCTCTTCTTAAACTTTCCTGAAATTTTGGAACAACCTGTTTAATATGCTGTGGCACACCATAAATATAAATTTCGAGCAAATTCATACTCATTCATAAAAACAGAACCATTAGTGAATTAGTCTTATTCTCCTTCAAACAGAAACCTTACAAATATCTGAATAACACACATGCCTTATATGAGGAAGGGTGGAAGGTGGTATTTACGGTTTGGTGGGTTTCGGCACAGCTGCTGATTGTTTTCATTTAATCGATAAAAAAACCACCGGGCAGTTGCACGAAAATGCATGTTTCCTGAATATAATGTATGTGTCTACCTTAAAAAATATTAACCTGACGTAATTAGCGACAAAACTATTGTTCTAGCCCTATCTCTTTACATGATCTTATCGTATGATCAGTAGTAATATTATCGGCAATGAGGAAGCCTGCCCACTATGGTAGTTCTAATTCTTCTCGTCTGCAGTATGATTAAAAAATACAAAAATATTTGATTATTGAACTTTACAAACTGATGCTGAGGACGTTCATCTAGAATTTAAAATATCATTTTTTGCTATTGCTGCCCAAGTCTTTGGGGTGTTTTGTCGTGCTAGGATGTTAGTTCTTTTAACCCTTGTCCAAAGATTTTCTAATTTTTTATTTTTCTTGATTTTTTTCTGCAAGATCTAATCGAGTTTATATCCACAAGCTGAAAAATGCTATAGCTTTTTTATTATTTCATTCGGATAACATACATTCATAGCTGTTTCATCATATTTAGCACCACATTTAAATAAATCTAATAATTTAGATAAAAAGTAAAAACTGATGTGGGAACACCAGTCAGAAACAGCCATAGATATACATCAACTTCGTCTGGATACACATCTTCAAACTGTTACATGTTGGAAGAATATTGCTTTAGCGTTTTTAACTTTTTATTAAGATAGAACGTCATTCATAACTTTTTATCATACTTGGCACTATATTTATTATTCGAACTTCACGTGAATAAACATTAAGATTTTTCTACAAGGTAAACATAATGAGATCATTTTGATATGACACAGCACAAAAAGCCAACCAAAAAGGTGACCAACAACAACAGATAAACAGATTCCAAAGATGTAATGAGCGTGTAAATTGCACCATCACTTCGTTTGCATTGTTTTTTTTATTTAAAGCAACTAACTCTATATACTTTCATTTAGTATTTTCAATAAATTTCTTATGAGGAGGGTTAGTAGATTTTTCTTTTTTTGTTAGTTATTTGCAAATTTCACAAAATTAAACTACTACTAAATAAAATTAATGAATTTGCATGATTAAGATATCTTAAATTGTCCAAAAAACTAAAATGTATTGTTCAAAATAAACAGTTTCTAAAAGTAGATATTTTACCTACAATCTGAATTGAATGTACTTGAAAAGAATACGAATATAAGATTTTGAGTTTTATGAAATTAAGTTATAAAAAAAGGTTTCTTTAAATATGAGCATGATAAATGTGATAATTTGGACAACAGCAGACGTGTTTGCCATCACATCTTGTCCCATGTATCTGAAGGGATTGGTATCACCTAAATGAGAATGTTTCTCTTTTTAAAAACTTTTCCATAGTTTTTATTATATACTGACGATATTCTAATAATTTTAATTTATATTGCAAAGTTCATTTTGCTGCATATTCAGTAAATTTGCAGTTTTCGATCCATAAGCATTATTTATTCATTTACAAATGCTTTGCTTTCACTATTTACCAGAGGTTACGTTTCTAGCTAGTTGGATTACCATCATACGTATAATAATCTTATCATAGTAAATGAACTCAAGCATCATATACAGGGTATTAAAAAAATAGACGGAGATATTTTGTGTGATTCCTTGTTAAAAAAATATGAAAAAAGTTTCTATAAACATGGGTCCGGAGTTTTGAAGATACATGGTGATAGATTTAATTCTTTTTTTATTAATATCTTAAAAAATATTTACTCGATTGTGGATTGTGTTGAAATTTGGAAATATCATTTGTTGTATTAAGAGGCTAATTTAAGACCGTATCGTTAGTCGTTCCTGCAATTGTAGGGCGCATTAATGGCCTCCTTGATTTTCATAGTATTTTCTCTCCTCCAGAAAGGCGGGGGAATTTCTAGATTTCTACTGCTCCGTGTCAGCGTCAGCACTCTCCTATTGTGAGGCTAGGTTATCTTTTTCAATTGTAGGAAATTTCAGGCTGACATAACAGATGATATAAATCAAAAGCATGAACAATTTGATGCAAATAGTTATTTGTAACAACCTCAAAATAGAACGCTGACACGGAACAGTAGAAAACTATGAAACTCAAGGAAGCCATAAAGGCGTACTATAATTGTAGGGACGACTGACGATATGGGCCTTAGCTCTAAATAGAATGGAATTATTAGGTCCAGTGGCGTCCAGGGGGGCACCTTAGCGAATATTGTTGAAAAAAAATGTACGCCACTGCTTTTTCCGTAACTTTAGTATTTGTTGTTTGATTAAGCATCTTAAATGCAACTTATTTGATGCACGTATTTTTCATATCTCACTTCGTTTTCGAGAAAAAAAACCGTTTTATTGGTCACTAGACAAAAAATCAGCCTCTTAATACAACAAATATCATTGTCAAATTTCAACAGAATCGAGTAAATATTTTTTAAGGTATTAATAAAACAATAAATATATAACCCTGTACCTTGAAAACTCTGCACTTCCGGACCCATGCTTATAAGAACTTGTTTTCATATTTTTTAACAAGGAATCACCCTCTAAAATATCTCAGTCTATTTTTCGAATACCTTGTATCTTCGGAAAAATCCATTCCTCCTCTCGGATCACACTCAGAATCTTATAAATAGTATTTGATACTTATGTAAGTATGTATACGGTTTACATATATGTCTGAACGCATCATACATATATCGACTAACTGCATATTAATTAGAATTGATTATCATACTCCTCATGGCATTAGTCAACTTCTTAGTTCATATTGACGCTTATCATCCTGTTTCACTGGTATCCAAATAATATCCTTTTGAACTTACGCACATGATTATGCGTGGAAGCCATGTATCTGGAATCAAAAAGAGTCAATCAAAATGTGATAATTTGATCATGTAAAGTTCCATTCTAAGGCCACTCATAACGTATTTGCAGCGGACGTCCTCGCGGATATTTCTCGGGGATCAGTTTCAACTCCACTATTCCACATTAAAGACCTCATTTCTTGCAAGATATCAACTCAAATCATAGTTTTGTTGCATACTAGCATTTATAGTATTACACCGTTTTTGCGAATGTGTTAGAGTGTGAGATAGAGAGAGGGATGAATAGGGAGAGGAATAAATAGAGAGCGAGAGAGAGTAAGGTAGAGAGAGATGCTCTGGTTAACAATTCTTTTTATCCACAAGACACTGCCTAGCGACGTAGTAATATATACCTGTAATTATATACTCCTAAAATTGTATAATGCTGTCTGAAGTTACCAAAGCCAAAGGTTAAAAAAGTAATTTCCAAATACCTAAAATGGCCTAAATTACAAAAATTGGAGCCAGGACCAGACCACTAGTTAAAATTGTCGATTATCAATTAGGATTTCATTTTTAGGCAAGTACACTAAAAATATTTTAAGCAGATACAAAAACTGTTGACGTACACTTATTTTTCTGCTTCTTACCTTCTTTCATCTCGTGTTATTCCGAAAGACACCTAACATCTACATGAACAGATTTCCTGTGTCCCAAAGCTTCCACTGAATTCGTCTTTGTATCTACGTATCTATTTTTAGATAACAATTATAGGGTAGGACTTATTGAAATAATAATATGAGGCCGGCGACAAAGTTTGTGGAACTGCCTGTATTCATGAAATATAAATCAGGTCACATCCTGACAAGAAAAGGTCTACGATATTAATGTGTCCAAAACTGCCACAGTAATGTTCTGAACGAACTAGAAGCATAGCTAGAGGTAACTTTGGATTTGCAGCTACTTTCACCATTTTTTTGAAAACTCGTGGCGACCTTTCACAACAGACCTCGATGCAAATGCTGTGCAAATGTTTACATCAAACATTGCTTGCCCATTAATAAATCTTACATTAAAAGAGTTCCGTTCAACGTTTTCAAGATTTTTGGAGTTACAGAGATTAAAACGATACATAACTTCCGGCCATATGGACATGTAAAGCCAGTCACGCGATGCGACAAAAAATTCTCCAGTACAGCATGTAAGAATGCAATTTCAGCTTTTAGTGCCTGCCTTATGTTTAAATTTAGCATAAAATACCATTCTGAAATGGAAGTACGCGACCAAGGGACTCATAATTGCATTTTTGAGTGTGTTTTATTGAGAAGGACTGGAATTAGGTAATGGCATAATAACGAGAAGAGCGGCACAAAGTACCTCACCGTAAGTAGTTACAGTAGTCTGTTGCACGTCTTTTTGTGACTTGCACATTTTGGCGAAATTAAAACAGTGATTATTGCTGGAATTATGTTCAGTTATCTTAATCTGGACCTTTTGGACCTTTTCTACTAATATTGTCGGTAGCGTGCCATCTAACAAACAGTGTAATTTAATTTTAATTTTGGAGAAAATATCCTGTTGTGTTGTAGCTGATGCAATGACTACGGAGTTATGAAGAAAAAACCTCCTAACACACGAAACTATCCCAAAAATTTAGAATTTTTTTACGAATAAAAGAATTGGATGAAAAAGTCCTTACACATACTTATGTACATAAGGTCAACAGATATAGTAGATGTATTATTAGGAACTCCTAGATCTTTTAGAAGCTACACCATACCCGTTACTGATACACGAAGGTGATGAAATTGGACCCTCATTTTCTTATTGCCGGCGTCATTTATTTGCTTTAAATCGCTTAGTCTGAGCTATTATAAATCATACATGTAGTTGGATACAATTATTATGAAAAGTCATTTCCAAAACATTACATACACCTGGTTTTAAAAATTACATGTTAAAACGAAAGTTCCATATAACATTGAAAACCATAATCAACTACTTGTAGATTGACCTAAGAAAAAAAAATAATGAAAAATTGGACCTGCCATATGATAATATCCACATAAACTTAACATTTTAAAACCTACTTTCGAATATTAAAACGGATCGTTGATGGTATTATATTAGTCTGTGAAAACGTAATTTCAGATCTATTTTAATATATTCAGAGCAAAACCCTATAATCTCCGCAAAGATCTTGTAACAATTTGGGTGCTCAAGCCTGCATGAAAAGAGCGTGCACTTTTGTTAGCAGCTTGAAAGCGTGCTGAAAGGGCACGGAAACTGATTTAATCTTCTGAAAATCGCTTTTAAGTCCACTGAAACGTAAAGGAATTTATGTTGTTACAAGTAATTATGTCATTCTGTGAACTTTCTACAGCGATCGCTCAATTTTAAATGGAATTCAAGATTTTTATGAATACCCTGGAAACATCCTTTATAGGGTTGTCGGCGATATAAGTAGTAATGGCCATTCCAGTTCTTTAAAACGTGTTCGAAATGCTTTATAACAGCGCATCAACTGAGGTTTGGCAATGACAATGTATGCCATATAGATTTTTGGAATCAGAAATAATTAGGCGTCCTTTGAAAAACAAAGTTGATGATTGTGGGCGAGAGACAAAAGTCATATTGCAATTATGCACTTTTTTACAGTGTCAATTGTAGTGAAGAAGGTCATCATTGGGACCGAAACGTATACAATAAAGAAGAGTTTTAAACACATGTGGTTTGATTGGCCAGACAGACGTGGGGAATTATCTACATGAAAACCACAGGAATAAGTTTTAGATGATACATTACAATAAAAACGGTTTTGGTAAAATTAGTTTTTTCCATCTATCTCCGGAAATACTTTGAATTAAGAAACCTTCTAAGTGTCATTAGCTACCTAAATGCGCAGCTTTGCCCACATTGAAACTTTTTCGCATCTCTTACCGTGATCGAGATCCGAATGGTGCGAACGAATTTGAAACATCCGGTATATGCGAAAAACTTGCACAGGATGCAGGAAGTGAAGAAGAATAAGGATCAGGTTGTTAAACTGCGAAAACGAGTAGAGAACTGGCAAGAAATAGCGATGCTCTCAGAATCCGTAATGTTCTCTAGAGAGTGACTTATGCCTTTCATGAAAGCGAGAGAGATCTACCCCAAAAACGGGCAACCCCAGAGCACATAAATTCCTCATTTATCTCTATCGCAATATAATCAGTCAGAATAACACCATGAGAATTGCAGTGAAGGACCGCTCCACATTCCCGCGAATATCGATTCCGTATAATTTATCCACTATCTTTCAGGACCGGTCCCATTCTTTTTGCATATACTGACTAAGCGTTTGACACTCTCCTCTCCAGAGAACAAACTACTTTCCAGCACGAGAATAGAAAAAATGAGTGTTCAAAAAAGCCTATAAAGTTTTATAAAACAAGACTACACTACACTTTCGAAAACGTGATTGCCTCATCTCCAGCCAGAAGCATGTTTGTACTATTATATTTAGAAGCTAGACAAGCTTATAAAATCATTGGAGAAATTGAGATATTTTTATATTTTCTGTTTCTATGACTACCTATATATGCCTCCAATTTTTCCTGATTTCATAAGATTTGTAGAACTAGTGACATTTGACTTCGTTCAAAAATGATTAGAGTAATGAGCATCGCGAATTATTCTACATATGTATTTGACAAAGCTAAAAGTAAAAAACTAAAATTCTTACTTTCCATCCTTCCTAAAACACCTATTTTACTATACTAAACAGTTACTGCGGATTTAAAAAAGCGCAAATTCTCTTTCCACACTGTTTTGTCTTTTCATCAAAATTGGCTTAATGTTTATTGATACCTGACTCGAAGTGAAAAAATGACGTCATTAAGTTAGGTTTTTCAATCGCAGGTAGTACCATATTTATTAGTTGAACTGCTAAATCTAACCTATTCTGCCCGACAGTGACATCAGCTTCCACGGATGCCGCTTGCCACACATTCAGGGCATTACGAAATGCACAGAACACGATACTTCCGATGTAAAAGCAGCGTTTCCATCTTAATACTTTAGTTATTCATAACCTGAAAAATGAATTTATAGACAAATGATAGTTAAGTTCTAAGTTACCTAACATGTTTTGGCTCTGACGTGATTTAACATTGGCTTGAGAATAGAAAAAATGAGTGTTCAAAAAAGCCTATAAAGTTTTATAAAACAAGACTACACTACACTTTCGAAAACGTGATGGCCTCATCTCCAGCCAGAAGCATGTTTGTACTATTATATTTAGAAGCTAGACAAGCTTATAAAATCATTGGAGAAATTGAGATATTTTTATATTTTCTGTTTCTATGACTACCTATATATGCCACCAATTTTTCCTGATTTCATAAGATTTGTAGAACTAGCTATCTCGAAGTGACATTTGACTTCGTTCAAAAATGATTAGAGTAATGAGCATCGCGAATTATTCTACATATGTATTTGACACAGCTAAAAGTAAAAAACTAAAATTCTTACTTTCCATCCTTCCTAAAACACCTATTTTACTATACTAAACAGTTACTGCGGATTTAAAAACGCGCAAATTCTCTTTCCACACTGTTTTGTCTTTTCATCAAAATTGGCTTAATGTTTATTGATACCTGACTCGAAGTGAAAAAATGCCGTCATTAAGTTAGGTTTTTCAATCGCAGGTAGTACCATATTTATTAGTTGAACTGCTAAATCTAACCTATTCTGCCCGACAGTGACATCAGCTTCCACGGATGACGCTTGCCACACATTCAGGGCATTACGAAATGCACAGAACACGAAACTTCCGATGTAAAAGCAGCGTTTCCATCTTAATACTGTAGTTATTCATAACCTGAAAAATAAATTTATAGACAACTGATAGTTAAGTTCTAAGTTACCTAACATGTTTTGGCTCTGACGTGATTTAACATTGGCTTCAGAGATGGCATTAGCGAAGGACATTCATAGCCTCTATGGCCTAAGCTGTATTTCTACACCATAAGTCGTTGTGCCATTTCTCCATAGGTGGCATTCACAGCAACTACGAGTAGTGTGGGTTACCGACTAGCTAGTACACAAGTACACAGCATTCGCACGGAACGACCTTATTGTCACAAAATATCCATAGAACATTACATTATTGTGTCGGTTACAAATTACGTTTTTATCGAAATGTTTGTTAACATGATGAATTAGTTCGAGAATTTGACTACATAATTTATGATAAACTATACCACCCGTACTCTAAAATAGAGTATTGTCATTTTTCATTTATGCGTACTTTATAATCTACGACATCTATAAAGTACGCAAGAATACTTTATTCGTTACTGGTTATGAGAACTTGAAATCGTTGATTTTGAACACTGGGCTTGTCTGAATGCAGTCACGTGAAATGTCAATTCTAGTGTAAGAAACAGTCAAATATCATTGTAAATAAATCTTTTTGCCAGGTATAATTTGTTTTTCAAACTCTTTGTATGAGTTATTGACTGTAAATATCTAGAAAGGCATATATTTGTTAAATGTCGCGAAAAGCAACAAAAATATGTTTTTAAGTACAAATAATGAAATACATACTATTGTTTCATGCTGTGAATTTTGTCTTTGTGCTGCCAAACTGAAGAAATGCTCTATTTACCCTAAGGAAAAAGCTGAAAACTCTAGCTCGTGGCGACAACTCGTTTCCCTTGGCGCCTAGCACCAGCCCTGCATCCTTATGCGTCCCGCATTCGGGATTACACTGTGGAATTCCTGTAAATCACATGTCATTGTTAATACAACGATCTTCTTGGCACATGCCCCGGATTATCTAATGTTCTATACACATTGTGGTTACACACCGGGGGAATTGCTTAATTTCGCGTATCTGGTGATTGTGCTCACTGAACCATGCTCTTTATTTGATTGTTATGGCTTGAGGAATCTTCGGTTACATCAGCGCAGTCAGGAGCGTGTAAACACTGGTTTATTCAGGTTATATCCTATACCCAGTGACAGAGATAATAGGACAGACATAAGCAAGAGGAAATCGTGATCAAATTAAAGTAAAAACGTTTGCTATTTTGCTGGATTTCCCTAGCAATGTGTTGTGTCACCTCGATGTCCTATACAATGGTCTAGTCGTTGAAGCATGTTACTTATGGACGGATTTCTATCTTCTTGAGTTACCTTATCCCAGACTAGCTCTACTTGGTTTCGAAGACCTGCTGGCGTTCATGAATGAGATAAAGAGGCAACTGTTCCTCCCATCATATTCCTCACATGTTGAATGGGCTAAAGATCTAGAGATCTAGGAGGCCAAAAAGGGGACTGACTTATACAGGGTGCGGCAGAGAGGATGGACGGTTTTAAAAAAATCATGAAATAGTTAATTTTTACTCGAAAACAAATTTATTGATGGAATCAGGTTTACAAGGAAATAGCACTTGAGACAGTCAAGTGTGGAAAATCACACCATGCATGTGGTGGCCGAAATCGTTGATGCAGTGCTGGAGGCGTTCTTGGAAGTTCGCGTAGACTCTCTCCAACATCGCTCTCTCAACTTGGGCGACTTCCACGCGAATTTCGCCCTTCAATTCGTCCAGAGTTCGGGGCTTGTTCGCGTATACTCTAGCCTTGAGGTGTCCCCATAAGAAAAAATCGCATATGGATAAATCTAGGGCCGAGGAGGCCAATGAACATCGCCAAACCTGGAAATAAGGCGACCAGGGAAGAGAGGGCGATTAACGTCCATGGATGCTCGGGCTGTGTGGGCGGTCGCCCCATCCTGCTGGAACCACACACGTCGGATTGGAACACGTCGCCGTCGTAATTCAGGGAGAAAGAAGTTGGTGATCATGTCGACGTAGCGCTCTGAGTTCACGGTAACATCACGACCATTACCGTCTTCGAAGAACTAAGGGCCAATGACGCAAGTTTGCGATACAGCACACCAAACCGTTACTTTTGGGCTGTGCAGCGGTCTTTCATGTAACTGTTGCGGATTTTCATTAGCCCAATAACGACAATTCTGCTGGTCAACCGTGCTGTTTAGGTGAAAGTGGGCTTCGTCACATATAAACAAAATGAGGTTCTCATTTTGATCGATCAGTGCTTCCATCTCACGTGCGAAGTTCATTCGTTGTGCATAATCTCCGGGCTGTAACTGTTGCACAATGGAAAATTTGTAGGGGTGAAAGCGGAGATCCATATGCAAAATTCGCCTTACCGAACGATCACTAAGGCGAAGTGCAGCAGCATGTTTCCGGGCAGATCGAGTCGGACTGCGAAGAAAGACCTGTCGAACGCGTTCAACATTTTCAGGAGTTCGAACTGTTCGCGGCGCTCTTCTCGGTCTTCTGTTGATCAGTTCACCACGCCTGCGGAGTGATTCAACCCAACGAAGGATGGTGTTTCGAGAGGGAACAGCTCTATTCCGATGAATGTTGAAGTGGCGACGAAACTCACGCTGTACGACGATGTATGAATCATTATTTCGAACGAAACAATCATAGGCGAAAACGCGGTGCTCCACCGTCGAAGGCTCCATAACGACAACTGGTAAAATAATGCTATGATCTCACGAGTCAAACGGCACCCTCCCGACCTCTCTCGTAGACGGAGGCGGAGAGTACTACTCATCCCAAAAACGTCCGTCCTCTCTGCCGCACCCTGTATTAAAAGCTAGAGGCATCATATGAAATGGCGCCTCAAATCATAACTCCTACTGCATAGTGCGCGTGACGTTCAATTCAAAAGTTTAATTATGTCTTTCTTTTCAAAGCCTTCTGACTGGTGCCCGTCATCACTCATTCCTAAGCAGAACCGATACTGGGCACTAAAAACAATCTCAATTTTCTCGGTATCGATTCTGCTTCGGTCACTAAGTGTCACATTCTATTTGTGTCCGAATCGTCATCATCATCCAAAACTAGAAATGGTGTTAACACCATTTAGTTAAAATTATAAAACCTATTGCCAAAAAAGATGAAATCTCGAACTCGAACAATTTTAACTTTTACATCTTTGTTTGTATTATTTACGTATTGTTTGTTGTTATTACTTACTCTTTTATGTTCTACTCTAATTGACATGTGCAAACCCATTTTTGTGTGATAGCACCAATAAATTATTATTATTATAAATACTGACGGATCACACTAAATCCTGATCTGATCGTGTGGCATTCGCCTCTGTAAACTGCAAATGAAACTTCATTCTAAAAAAATTATTTTTGCTAGGCATTCTATCTTCTTTATCACTGGGTATATTTAGAGTTAATTTCTCTAATTTGTCACGTTTAGTTGATTCAAAACCTTAGAGAATTATAAATTCAGTCTCAGTGTTAGCCCTTATAGGTAAAAAGATCCATTTAAAATAACACGGAATTTCTATAACATATCGGTCCTAAAAATGCCCCTCTACAATATATGTATGATTTGAAGATATAATTTCTTCGAATTCGATAGAAAATGCATCTCCAGAGTAAATAAAGCTTTCGACTTCAAAATTTTGTACAGATAGCGAATATCAATGCAAACAACAGCTATGCCATATTACATCGCTGGAGAGAGATTGTAGCATGTGCCTAGTTAAAGTCGGTTCTAATGGAGTACCAGACGGCCTCCCGTGCCGTAAACTCAGACACGAGACTACACCTTCACACGCAACTCAACTATGAATTTTATCCGATCGAGGTAACGTCGCATCTTCATCATTCACTCGGTTCTTGGGTCAATGATCTAGTTGTGCAGCTTTATTGACAGAACAAGACAGAGATAACAAATTGATCTCCAACTTTCATTGCTATGCTATTTGTTTGTACCGAATTTTCTCAGAGGTGGACTGACTCTACATCAAGTTACTGTAGTATCTACAGCTCACCTAGGCAAAGGTTACGTGAAATAAATAGTCGCGAGGTTTCATATTATCCGTGTAAGATATTGCTCTCTACCTTTGATTGTCGTGTTCTAGCTTTAATGGCCCTTAAAATAAGACCGAAACGTTCATACAGGCCAAATTACTTCGTCCTCAAAATGGGTTACCTTGAAAGCTTTGGGGAACTTTTGGAAAATTAAAGTCTGTATAGATTTGAACGAGATTGATAGATTATGAGAAATATTCTCCAGCTAAATTTGTCAAGTTACCATACAAAGAGGTGGAACGGAAATATAGTGAAAATCCGAAACGAGTACATTAAAATCTACAAGAGTCTCATCTTTAGAAGTCCCTCAAAAGCTTACTAGGTAAAACCATTAAATTACTAGATGGTGGGTCAAAGATTGTTTTTTGGACGTTTAGTACTTATATCGCGTAATGTTTCTTTTGAAAAATCCTCAAAACCCTTATGACATTTTAAAAATTACTTTTGTATGTTTTTTAGTTTCTAAATATTTTCTTCGTCCTCAAAAAAGGTCACCTTTGAAGTTTCATGGGAGTTTTGGAAAATTGAAGTCTCTATAGATTTCAACGAGATTGATAGATCGTGAGAAATATTGTCTAGTCCAATTTGTCAATTTACCCTACAACGAGGTTAAACGGAAATATATTGAAAATTCGAAATGAGTTCATTTAAATCTCCAAAGGTCTCACCTTTTCAAAATTCCTCCAAAATTTACTACGTAAGACTATTAAATTACTAGATAGTTCGTTTTTGGATGTTTAGTACTTTCTTTTGAAAAATCATTAAAACCCTTATGAAATGTTAAATATTTTGTGGGACAATAAAAAAACATTACTTGAAGGTTCTCGAATCTTGGTAACTCTCAGGTCTCATAATCGCTCCTGAACTTGCGTATCACTTGGATGGTATTAAATTTCTTGAGCAGTCAAATAACCTTAATTAACCACATAAAATGAGTAAGAAGTTAAAACAAAACCCCGTTCGTTAGGATGTTTGTAATTTATTCTATGTATCACTGAAGGTAGTTTTTGCTTGTCATCACAATTTGTAGAATAATAGAAAATGTTATATGTTCAAGGCATCGCATTGACAAGTTTATGCGAAGTTTTAATGAAATCAACTATTTTCCTGAGAAAATTGTGCCGTATCATTCCATTTTTACCTGTAACTATAGAATAGTACTCGAAAAACTGATAAAACAAGTCTGACAGGCTACTACCAAACTAGAAAGTCCACCGTTGCATTTTTGAAATATTTGGCTCGAGATCGGTGGTTTATATTTCTCATATTATTTTATTTCATAACGGAAAACATTTATAGAAAATTGATCGTATGGAACTAAACAACATCACAACGTTACTGAAGTTCTATTCAGTTTTTGAAGATTTCAGCAGAAAGTCTGATTTAGCTACAGTTTCTGTTGTGTGCCCTGGCATTGCTAACTACAGTGGACCTCCGGTAATCCGACAAACATTATGCATAACAGTGTCGGACTATCGAATTTGTCGGATTATAGAGCACTGCCTAAGACCCCCTATAGTCCGGATTTTTTTACAAAAGAGTACCTTATAATCCGACAAATTACATATCCAATGGTAAGATTATATATGTTATGTATATGTATGTACTTTGAAGTACAAATAATACATAGTTTATGTATGTCGAATTTAGTAAATTAAATAACAATAGAGAGCTTACGTTTTATTATACAAATTAAGCATAAATGCACATACATATGTACCAAAATAGTCAAGAATTATTAATAAAAATGATTAATGAATTTATCAAAATATGAAGCTTGGAAATATTCATCAATTTTTTTTGTTTTAGGTTGTTATAACGCGAGATCAGAGCTTTGTCCCTCAGCCTTCTCAAAAATAAAAGTTCGTTGTAGGATGTACCATTCTCTTCAGCCCATTGTAAACCTAGCTCAAAGGCGTTAATTGCGTCTTGTGCTGTGACTTGTGGAGCAGTTGCAATCACGTCGTCGTTATTTTCCTGATTGTTTGTTGTATAATTAGAAATCTCTTTTATAATCTCTTCGTCAGACATTACATGAAAAACATTTTCCTCTTTATCCATTCCACGGCACCAGATTTCCAAATCTTCCGGACTTATCTGTGTTTCTGTAGCGACTTGTTCTATAACTTCCGAAGTTACACTAATTTGTGGAACGTTGCTAGGAGTAGTGACTATATCTGGCCGTAACTTTTTCCAAGACGATTTAATAGTTGGTGACGGTAACGCATTCCACGACTGACAAAGATCAATAACCAAGTCTTTCATATTAAATTCTTTTAAAGTTTTTTCTATTGGTTGGTCTTTTGATACGGCTCTCAGAAGTAGGTTTTTTTTATTGTCTTGCTTGACAAACTGAATGATATTTTGGTCCATTGGTTGAATCAGAGCAGTGCAATTTGGCGGAAGAAACATCGCAGTGATACATTTATCCTCAGTTGTTAGTTCTTCTTCAGACGGATGACCGGGAGCGTTATCAAGAAGCAACAACGGTTTTTGAGAAAAATTATGAACTTTCAACCATTTTCTAACTTCAGGTACGAAGCATTCATCAAACCACTTTTTGCAAAGGTCTTTTGTCATCCATGCACTTTTTTGTCCGGAATAGTGTACAGGTAAGGTAAATCAATGTTTTTTAATGCCCGTGGTTTATTAGATTTCCCAATGACCATCATCTTAAGCGCGTGTGTGCCCGCAGCGTTAGCACATTATGGTAGTATGGTTACTCGCTCTTTACTTACTTTTCGTCCAGGTACGGATTTTTCGTTACAAGAAACGAAAGTTTTGTTAGGCATCACACGTCAAAAAAGCCCTGATTCGTCTGCATTGTACACCTGTGATGGGTCAAGATTTAAATCGTTCACCTTTTGCAAAAATCTTAATTTAAAGGGCTCTATGCAGGTGGCATCATTAGAAAGTTTCTTTCCTGTAATGGTTATCAAACGTATGCCATGACGACTTTTAAAACGTTCTAGCCATCCTTTGCTGGCTACAAAATCATCTTTTTTTGTTATTTCCTTATAAAAGAACTTAGCTTTCATGACCAACATGGGTCCTGAAATTGGTGCATGCCCATTTCTTCTTCCACTTCTGGATGTTCAGCTTTTTTGAGTGTCTGTCTCTTGCCTGGCCTGCAGTCAGTAGTTGACACGAACTTCTTGATCTTCTCGTGGTTTCTTTTAATGTCATAAATTTTAGATCGGCCTACGCTGTATTCACTTGCTAAACTACTGAAAGTTTCATTGCGATTTAAGCTGTCTAAAATATCACATTTTTCTTTAATTGTTAATGTTTTGTGCTTTCGCTTCTGAGTTTGTGATGACATTACTAGGTACTATACTTAATACACAATGAATAAATAGTAAACAATGAACTCACGCTAGGCCGTGCCGCTATCACAAGTAGTCAATTTCAAACTAAGTAAAACAATGCTTACGCGTCGAGCACGATAGCGGTGGCGCGTACAAGTTGTAACCTGTTCAAACCTGCGTGATCTATATTAGCGAAGATTGTCAAATACGTATGTATGTAATATTCAAAGACATGTCGGATTACAGGGGGCGCCGGATTAGACAGCGGCCGGATTATCGGGGGACCACTGTAGTATAAATTTTGGTTGGACCCAAAGTCGCACGATTTCATTTTGTTCTCAGTGCGAGCCACGGCTTTCTATGGTTGCGAACTTGCTCGGCTGTGTAGTCTACTGACTCGCGCAACAAAGTGTTGTTATGCGACTCCGCTTGACTATAACGTAGCTGCGCTAGTTGTTTGATGTAGTCCCTTAGATAAGGTATGCCAAGGTCTCTGTGAAGGGTCTCATCGGAGACATACCATGAGGCGTTAGTCATTGTACGCAATGTTCTGCTTTGCAAAACCTGTATCAAGCCGCACATGCGTAAGTTATCGCTGGTCTAATAATAATCTTGTATGGTCGAAGTTTGTTGATCTAACTCAATTTTGAGGCTCTGCATAGCATAGGGTTGAGTTGCCGAAACGCGATTTGGAAATAAGCTTCTAACGCTTCAGTGTGCTTCTGCCAGGTCATGGCAGAAGAGTGATACCGAGAGGTATAATACACCTAGATCGCCCGCATTTCCGAATGATTAATTTTGATCAGCCACCGATACGCCGATTGCAATATCTCGTCCACCTCACTTCACACGGTGATCACATGCCAATCATAGCTGCAAAATATAACTATCACTTAATTCTTTCATGACACAGACGATATCACAAAAATCACTTTATCGATATTGAAAAGCTGATCGCTCTTTGTCCCAAACATGTGCATAGAAAATCTCTGTGATAAATCCATTATTACTGGGCATTCTTTTTATATACCATTAGTTATATTTGCTTGATTGGCTATGGATTGATCAGATTTTTTGCACTTTTGATGTCGGTGCCCTATTCAGCAGCGACAGCGGCGAGAGAAAATCTCTCGCTTCTGGCACAGAGAAAAACAGGGATCGAGGATCAGTCAAGGATTTTTGCAGTCTTATGTTTAGTCTAGACTTTTTGGCAGCGATTACTCGGACTCGGGTGATAAAGTAGGTTGAGCAAATCGCTTTATTGCACATGTCACTTCTAAACGGAACTTCACCGGATAAGTGGATTTAGTCTCCGTGATTACGACAAGATGAAATTCAGAGGCTGCGCTTCAACGGGGTTACCGGGTACGTTGACCGGGATGGCGGGTGCGTTCCGAATAAGAAATGGACGATCGATTCATCCTATCAGCACAGAATTCTACTTATCTTTGGATATGTATAGTATCTCTATGTCCAAAATTCACAGTTACGCGCGCATGCCACTGTTCTGTTCTATTCGCTAATGTCTGTTAGGGGGGAGGGCGGTCCGCAGGACGTATGTTCTCTGTTAAAGTATTGTAGGCCAGTAGGTCTGTCAGTTCTGATTAGGGAGAAAGAAGCAGGAAAAAAAGGAAGGCTGGAGAGTAGAGAAGAGAAAGCGTATGAGTATGGGGATCCTAAAATGGATGTAAAGATTTATGTTGTAGAGAAATTAAAAAAATTACGGGTTTAAAGTTAGAAAGTTGTAATGGGGTGGAGGAGGGCTATCTCAATTTTTTGACGATATTACGTTTATTGGTTTCCAGCTTTGGTAATTTTACGTACCTTGACATATCTCACACATCATAGATGTCCCCATGCGTTTGCCTTTAAAACTTAGAATGATAGAGAGGTGCTTTCGATACGCGTCACTGTTTCTGCTGTCTGGGATCTCTGTTATACATGTTTGTAACTTTTTTCTCAAAGATTCTAAATTGTGTTGAACATAATATATCGTATGAACTGATGACGGCGTTGCGTGGGGAGTGCAGTTCATCTACTTGATGTCATTTCTTAGCAGACAATGACCAGTCGCTGTTGGCTGGATATGTGGTTCTACAGACATGGATAATCTGGCATGCTCTTGAAAACACACGTGGAAAAAGTTTAACGACGTTTCTTAGTAGTACAATGTGAAATCTAGGTAGTTAATTGATTTCATTTTTTTCTCAATATCTGTGTTCTTTAACAACCACTACAACATGGAGATGAACCAGCCAGACAATCACATTATGTTTCGGTATCGTTAACGGTTTAGATCCTAATATTTTAGTCTTAATACTTTGTGGCAATATTTTTCGAGAAAATGAAACAATTGATGCAATAAATTTCCACTTACTTCACAGGCTAATAGAACAGTTCGGTTTTAGATTGAATTTTCACATAAGCTCTCTATCATCAAAAACAAAGAAGTTCGGAACTGTTCTAAGACTTCACTGTTCAGTATTGTTCGTATTCTTGATTATTCGAACAGCGATGTAATTTCAAAAAAAAATAAGTTTTTTTCTTCAATAAATTTTTCCGAAAATTCATTTAATCCTTCGGTAATGGATAGCATGAGGAGATTTTGTTTTCAACAACTTTGCTGTCATCGGCTATTTAGCAAACTACGCAACTTTTTCTTCCCTATCATAACAATAGATTTGAATTAGAATCTGAGTAGCAAGTTGGTACATTACCAGACATACAATTTTAGCCCTGATTTTCGGCATTTTATGAGCTAGAAACTTTGCTGGTATTCAAAAGCTCACATTAGTGCGTGGAAATTTGCGTAAGTCAATCTACTTGACCGCATTTTTTACTTCACCTGTTTATAGAAGAAAGTCTAAGCTAGCCAAATATGCGGATTTCATTAAATAAAATGTTAACGTTCAACAAAAGCCGAAATACGATATATCTGGCACAATTTATTACTCATTCTCACGTGTACTTGCTGACGTTGACAGCGATGAAGGTGCATTTTCATCAATTCTGAAAGGGGAAACTAAAGTATTACAAATATTTTGTGCAATTACATTTATCCGCAATCATCAATTTATGAATGGAATGAGTCCAAATGCGATATATGCGTGTCCGTTCAATTTTACGCAAATGAAATCAGATGGGGATTGAGGTATTGAAAATATCAATTAACTTATCGTTAGTGAAGATTAAGAATTTTCATAAGCTATATAACGACGTGGCCAAAGGTTTAAGAGATGTTTCATTGGTCTAAGGTTACTGAACTCATTAACAAGTTACTATACTGAGGATGGCCATATGACGAATGTTTAGCAAGTAGCCGTTCGAAAATTGATCAGGCTACAGCTCAGATCCTCCTTGATCCATCTAAAGTTCTCCGTATGGTCCTGTTTATGTTTTAATGATCTTTTTTTCCAAATATCTTAGTCCTTAGATAACCACTCTGTGCAAGGCCCATATAAGATGTTGTCTCGAGTACTGTTCACTTGTTTGGGGTGCAGCCGCCTCGACTATATTGTCCATACTTGATGCTGTTCGACTGGTTGACGACACTTCTCGAACGGACAGTCTCGGGATCCTCTCGTACCGACGGGCGGTCGGCGATGTTGCTCTCTTCTACCGCTGGGCTAACGGGCATTGCTTACCAGAGCTGCTCTCTAATGATTCTGTGGAACGTTGTGCCTGCCAGATGGACCCTTCAGGCTTCTGCCGCCCCCATTCCAACTCTGTCGAATTTCGGACATCCAGATTGGTCGGTACGAGCGCTCCTTTCTTAGGATGTCGAGAAGAATCTATCTGTGAAGGCTTTTCCCAGTTCTTTTAACCTGAAGCAGTTCAAAAAACGGATTAACAAGGCGTCTTTAACTCTCTTATAGTAGTCGCAGTGATCCGATATTTTGTTTTCTGCCTAATCCGTTGCTTTAGTATATAAAAAAATGCGTCATCAAAAACGATTCAGCGATTACTTAGATTACGCGGTGAGAAATACTACGGGCAGGCAGACAGAGACACGAAAAAACCGATTGAAATTAATGGAGTTTTCTTGATGAATCAAATATACCCTAATTTTTGACTGTTTGTAGTAAAAAACCATATATTTTAAAAAAAAATGTGTTCTTTCAGTTCGTAAACAAACTACGTATTGCACTGCAAAGATACAAATTTTTGTGTTTAATAGTTATAACCTGCGCAAATATGATACTGATATACTGATACTGATCAAAACTGCCTAGTGTTTAAGTGAAATATCTGAAAGTTCACCCAATAGTTATTCCCCGTTCCAAAAGGAAATACGGATAATGCTAGTTTTTAGGAATGCCAAATGCCACCCTCTTCCGTAGTATATCCCTTCACCTGTGCTGAGGCAGATTGTGTTTCATTCCGCTAAAATAGGGTGCGGTATGAAACTCATTGGCGCGCAGCTAACATTGCCTAGAGGTAGCTAATACATAGACTGATTACTTGTATAAAAAATTGAATTCGCTCAAGTGCGTCGTTTTGGTATTCCAGAGTCTCTTGATTATTAAAAAAAAACGTAGGGGTTAAACATTGAGAGTTGGGGGTTGTAGGGGGCGTAGTAGGATACATCTCGATTTTTTGGCCTTAGTATATTTATACGCTTGACGCGTCTGAACGGTCTATGAACTAATTGTTTGACAGACTTGATCCATTTGGTTTCTTTGTTATATATATTTTTTTTCTCAAAGGCTCAAACTTATGCCGAGAGTGAAGAGTAGAAGCCGTTCCACTTTTGTAGACTGCTGAACATGAGTGTGCATATGTGTTATACATATGTGTTATACCCATGGCAGCTATTTATGTATCTAGGGCTTTAAGCGGGCTGTTATTTGATCAAAGTTTATAGTATTTTTCAAGTACTGAACGGCACCACTGGAGCTTCATCTGGAATCAGTGAAGAAATCGATTTTCATCTCCCTTGGGTATACAGAGATCTGAAAATGATTGAACATATAAGGCGCACCACTGACAAGGTAAACAAGGTCGTTGCATCTCTGATATCGCTAATGCCATCTGATGGAGGCCTCAGTAGTGAGGACTTTGGCAGGAGTGGGAAACTCGATTATGCTGTACGGCGCTCCTAAGTACGTACCTATAACAAGGCCTTGGAGAAAAAGAAATATAGGCTGCTAATATAAAAGGGCGTCGAAGCTACAAGATACGAAAGAGAGGCGCTTTTTGTCAGATGGCAGGAGAGATTTGATGCAACTGGCCATGGTGCATGGACCAGAAGGCTGGTCCCAGGTATTAAAACTTGGATTGACAAGCGAGCAGAGCGTACAGTTCCTCACAGAACATAGTTGTTTTGACAGGTACCTGAAGACGGTAGTAAAGGGAGAGTATGCAAATTTAGTATATTGAAATGAAGAGGAGGATACTTCGAATCACCTACTCTAATGTGGTAGTTGGACTGACTACCATACACAGCTGTAACTGACGTTCGGCGAGAGGCTTAGTGCTGGCAAATTTTCCACGCATATGCACGAGACAAAATGGGTTGATGTTCAACCAATAGTGAGGCGAATGGTGCTGAGCCAGGTACGGGAGAACACAAATAGACCAAGGAACCAATAGTAGGTTTCTATTTTGCTCGATTGTACATATACATAGGTACTATATAAAAGTATGTATGTGTACGATACAACATAGATGACTAATACCTGCGGTATGAAAACCTAGCGTAAAGCTACCCACTATAAAGAAATGCTGCAAGCATTGCCGAGGTGGGATGTATGGCAAACGACTGATCGGGCTTTAGTGAGTATGTCATTTCAGGAAAATCTCACACTGTGGGCAGAAAGGGCCGGCAGGGCAATACTGGCGAGATTTTCTGCCTGAGAGTGACTATAAGGGCTTTCCCCTGTCAAAAAAGCCTTCATATTCAGGTCCTTATGCGAAGTTCTCCTAAGTGCAAAATATGTTCAGTTCCTGGTCAACGGTAGCAATGTTTTGGGCTAAATGCACTGAACGAGAACATGCACGAGTTGTCTTGTCTATAATGATGCTTTCTCAGGAACTCGCTCTACGAACAGCATTGTATGGCTGTGCCGTATACCAAATTTCTACACTCACATTTCTTATAGTTTGGGTTAACGACTCATCCGCTTGGAAGAAGATTTTCAATATTTCCCAATTTTGTTTCAAGGATATAGCTAATTTCTTGACACGCCAAAATCAAATTGTAACGAAAGCATCGTTCCACTGCTCAAAGTCTAATTTATTAGTCTACTCTTGCAACTAATTTACAACAAATTTATAACTATGCTGACTGCACTATTATTGCATCCGCTCGATGTCCACAGGCTCGGCTGAGTATTGGGTGTTAGTAACAGGTTCCGCAATCTAGTCGGGTATTTATCCACGCGTCGAGAAATGTTCTGGCGTTTTCCAGGCAGAGTCGTGAACTTCCATGCAAGTAGTCTAGATGGCAGCAGGTGCCTCCAGACGAATATCAAATACTCGCGATTGCGTCGCGAACGGTCCAGCAGTACGCTCCATATATGGTCGCGTAACTCTGGTTGCTTGAGCGTCGAGGCTGTCAAGCGACTCCTTGCCGCTCAAGGTCCCAGCTGTATGAGGGCGTTACAAAATTCAAGCATTAGGTAGATGGGGAGCATCGCTGATCGCTCGACCCGTGACTGGCGAGTTCGAATCTCCGCTTTGGAAGTTAATTCCTAGCCATGAATGCTGTGCATTGTCTATATCAGGCACCAGATCGGTACAAAATCCACATAGGTTCATCGTATCCCTTGGGCTGGTTTATTCAATAATATAATCAGTCACCAGTAGATCGATTGTGACGTAGTACAGTGTTGGTACTACGGGGTCGGCAAAAGGGGTGGAAGGTGACCTAGTTACCAGGATTCGCCTCCCCACCACTACGTATAAATTAAAAATCAATTAATGAGCATTCGATAGCAACATAATGGATAGTTCAAATTTCAATTCTAGATGACCCACCCTATATTAAGAGAACACTAAGAACAAAAGCCCTCATAATATACTGGGCACGCTCATGACTTGCTCTATAATGAGGGGATGACGGAAAGGTGTTCCCTTCACCGTTAATTATCTATATTTTACGGAAAGCGATATTACGCCCATCACAGTCGAGCGAATACTTGCTGCCATCTGTTCTCTTTGAAGACGGCTGCCAGACGAAAAATACACCACAACGTCTGCCTTACTTGCTATCAAGTTCCCATTAAGTGTATTTTGATACCTTTTAGTAGACCATTCCGATCAAAATAATTTGTGTAGGGGAACGTGCCCAAAACAAGATCACCTTTTTGTTATTGGAAAAAAATAGATAAATATCCGTTTTAAAAACATACAATGTTTACTATAAAGTGTTAAGCAACACGTTCTTTACACGGTCATGAGTTGTCGTTGAAAATTGTTTATAAAAAAGTAATGGGTAATAACCTTACAAACTCCTCATTTGAAAATGAGGTGCCAAAACAAGATAAATCGTAAACATTGTCAGTCGTCAATTAAGATTTTATTTTTATGAAAAGATACAAAATTTACTTAAAACAGATATGTAGTTTTGAATTCCTTAGCGACACAAAACGCAGACGTGTTCTTCCATCTGTGATACCTACCATCTTCTATCCAAACTTCTTACTCCTGAAAGCATCAATCGCTTTAATTATTCTAGAAGGATTCAATTTCCTTCTTCCAGTTTTTCTGATTACACTATTCGGACATGACGAGAGATCTCAAAATGATAGGTTTTAGGCAACTGAAAGGTGTCTGGGTTTGCATGATTTACGCCGAGAACTTATTTATGCCATAACATTTCAATCGTCTAAATAAACCAATTATTCCATGTAAAAGATAAACCTAGGATTTTGCCATTTATGACAGTAAATCTTTACCTCAGAGCCAGGTTAAGTTCATTTTTACCTTAAATGAGTTTTATATCTTCAATCAGTGATAATATTGTGAATTTGCTAGTTGCAGCGTCCAGTTTCGTGTAATAATGAGGAAATTACGACTTCATAGATCATGTTGTCACAAACTGAATGAAAATTCATAATATTATCATAGAGTGAACAAAACTTATTTTAGAGAAAACATGGCTTCAAGTAGATTTGCTACTAATACTAATTTCCCAAGAGTGCACAGTTGGGGCATTTCAGAAAAAATCCTCAGATTGCATCATTGAGTGTGTCTGTGAATGGTAGCCTCATTTCTTTGCAGCTCTGTTTGTCATTGTTTAATAACTGATTATAAAGCAGTTGATATGTACTTATATACTGTATATGTAAAATTGCCTCTCGAAAACAAGTAACTTCATTGTCCCTCAGTTCCTGTACCAAAGATGCAATATTTACAGGCCTGTGACGCACGACAAGTGCGACCGATAGGTACGCGATCTGTCAGCTGAAAATGTTTTAATACTTGATAAGTTTTAAGGGAAAATATGCTGGGTAATCTAATATGTCGGTCTGAGTGGTCCGTAAGACATTTGTCCATTATTCACTGCTAGTGTACGATAGTCGAATGTCAGTCTTGGTTGCCCAAAAACCACACAATATTAAAGAGAAAGAGAAAAGGATGAAGGAAAAACGAAGACCTAAGAAAAGAGAAGTGTATCAGTTTTCAAACCTAACAAAACTATGTTTTTAGCATTTGTGCTTTTTATACACCTCTACTGTCTGTTATCCTGAATGTTGCGTGATACTATGACATTTATACCCCGATCAGGAAGTCATATATCATCGTAGTATCTAGAACCCCCCAAATTCAATCTGACTAGTCTTTTAGACATGTTCATTGCTTTGAGGTCCATCAAGTATTACGTTGAAAGACGGGAATAGACCTATTTGCTCTAAACACATCTCAATTTCTAAAATTGCATCAAGATTCTGTGAGTATGAAGTAATGAAGCATTGAAAAATGTTTTTGTAAAGTTTGGATGGATTGAAAAAACATTACCTCAACATTTGAGGAAAGTTCATCCTCTCATCTTAACTCTTAACTAGATACAGAGAATGCAGAACAATTTGTCAGAAGAGGCTTTTTTCACTTCTACTTATCTCAGCTGGTTCAAAACGATTGACTTCTTCAAAGCGGTGCAGATATTACGCTATTTAAACTATGTTTCAGTATATTAGAAGTAGTCCTTTTAAATCAACTACAAATACCATTTTGTTGCTTTATAAGAGTGGTTAGACTGATATCTTCTCAACTTCAAGGCTAGACTAATCATCTTACACTTGTATTTTTTGTTTCAGCAACTGGATTGGATCCGTCAGACCTGCTGTCGTTCCCAGGGCAATCGATAGACCTTCTAAGTTCCTTAGGCTTGTACAACTCGTCTTGGGTGGGGGTAACACTGACAGAAGGTCCTTCACAAATTCGCCCGGCCTACTTGTTACAAGGTAACGTGTACCGCTTTTATATTCATTACTACCATTTTTCACTGGCACCTTTGAATTGAACTTTGCATGTTGCTTTGTACGCGAATCTAACTTTAAATTATTACATACAATTAGCTTAGCTCTATCAAATACTTTGGGTATTTCTTCCGAAAGGTCGACTTCATATTCATGTTTAGTTCATTATGTTAATTTATACTTTCATATGACTTATAGGTTTCTGAACACATATATGTCGTGGAATGTACGTGTGTGTTACGTGGTACTCAGTAGAATAAGAGGGTAAAATACTAGAACTATGATTATTCATATTCGAGTCCTTTCCTAAATACACCTGTTGACAAATGAGGACTTCGCTTGTGCTGAAATATTTATAGAATAGATATAGCGTAAAAGCTAATGTCGTTGTAATGCCTGTAAAGTTACCTTCAGCCTTCAATGTTCATATTTTCTTGAGAAGCATTTATTTTGATGTCAAACATTTTCGAAGATCAGATATCAAAAATCTACTCACTTTATGGCAGATCACTTATTTTCGAAACTGAAACAACTACATTTTTATTTGTGCTCATACCGTTAACGATAGCCAAAAAAGGATCCCGTTATGGAAAAAATATAAATGCATATATTGAATGAAAAAGCCCTTCATTCAGAGATTTCTATCATACGCAAAAGCTGGAAATATCACTTTCGCATATATTAAAAAGCAGCGTCAAGCAGATTGAATCTGCTCTTCTCACGCAACGCTGTTATCAGTTCATAGAATATTATGTACGGCGAATGTTGACAAAAATGATAAATGCAGTCTTATAGCAAAGGAATGGAATGTATCAAGTCGGCCAAATAGGCACATAGAAATACTTCTCGCTCGTTTGATACGATCTAAAAATGTAGTCGCGCATCTTGTTTAGATTAAGATGTAACTGGTGTTCATCCTCAACTTATTTTTTTTTGTATTCTATTTCCGATCTTGCAAATATTTGTAAAAATAAAGAATACGTATACAGGATGTAAACGTTAAGGTAGTCATTATTGAAATGGGTAATAGGGGGGGGGTCAAAACAAGTCAAAAAGTTTATATGACTCATGGTCCAAGTCAATAAATTTTTGTCTAAATGGCCATATAGTTTACAACTTTAAGTGTTTTACATCGACCACAATCTCCACAATCTTACTAATTTTGATAATCTAATCTAAAACGTTTTTGAATTGGGTAATTAACAAATAAATGGCATTAAGTTTTTCTAAGTTAAGCCAAAATTTGTAGTCAATAAGAAAGTAAGTTTCATTAAATTGAATATTTAAAACACACTTGACAACAGAGCGTCGGTCATCATCACTCTTATTGAACCGGCAATCGATCGAAAACGGTAACAGTGGTTAGTTATCCTTTTATATAGTTTTGCGGCGTTGTCAGATTTATTTTACTTTAAATTCGCTTTTCTCTAAAAAAATGTAGTTTTGACCCCTACGTTATATGAAACTTTTTGCTTCTTTTAATCCCCTCTATCACCCATTTAAATAATGACTATAATAACGTTTACACCCTGTATAAACATATACAACTGGTGTACAATATTGAGTACGTTTGCAGATTATTTGTGAAAGGAACATATTATCTTTAGATTCTGTATGCCCCATTTAGTATACCCATTTAAATAATGACTATCATAACGTTTACACCCTGTATAAACATATACAACTGGTGTAGAATATTGAGTACGTTTGCAGATTATTTGTGAAAGGAACATATTATCTTTAGATTCTGTATGCCCATTTCAAATCAAAAACACTAAAAAAACGTCCCTCCGGTGGCTCAAGCGCACCATACAATCGAGTGTTTACTTATACATGACTTACTAATTTGAATGAAAATCTGCTAATGTGACTTGATTATAATAGTCATTTATAGCCTTCCAAACTTTTTTGTGAATCATGATGAGTACTATAAAGATATAGTACTTTATTTCGCGTATGATCAATAGGTTTCGCAAGCCAAATAATCTCTTCTGATAGGCAAATTTTTGATACCTTTGGTCAAAATTCCGTCATGTTTCAGTCAGCTTATACAAATCTCTAATGAATTATATTTCTTTGTCCAATAGTGGAAACCGTAAGAAAACCCGTTGTGTAGTTGTCAGTATTATCGCGTTCAGGCAGACGCGGTGGAAAACTTTATAACGTGTAGTGCTGGGTGCACGCTTGAAATGTTTCTCATTTAAGGCATGAGCTCAAATGTGAAATAGGCCTAACAAGTATGTAGAATTACTGTAGAAGCGTATAATATCTTAACGCCTAAAATTCCAAATCTACACTCCCCCATCCTTTACAACCCCAACCGCTCATGTTTAACCCATACAAAGATTTTTCTGAAAATGACCAGGAACTTCTAAAACGGTTAACAACCTTGAGTGAAAATCTCATCAAAATATGAGTGATACTTTTCAAGTTATAGACGGGCTTAGCGGACAGATAGGCAGACAGACACACCGACGGAAATGAGTGACAGCTTTTCGTGATTTATTTGTCATATAACAACTAAAAAGAATAATATTTCATTTTCTAAATTTTTCTTCGTCAGTAGCAGTGAAAAATCTAAGTATTTCTATAAGTAGTCTACCGAAGAGTACTGGGGACGTAACGACATTTAATAGACAACTCGTCATGAAAAAGGTAGTACCAATTAGAAATTAGCGAGAATTTTGGAACATTTTATGTACTCGTATGTTATTATTTGAGCTTAAACTTTTGGCTCTATTAATTCATAATTACTGTACTCATTTTTGGTTAAAAAAATCATCATTTTTGTAAAAACAAATTGACTGCTACAAGTTATCATCATAGAATAAGGACTCTTTTTTAAAGTGTGTACCACCCATACCGATACCTCAGTTTTTGTATTATATACAAGAAAAGTGATTTTTGACTTTGTCGTCTCCACTTCTTACATCACTGACGTATTGTAACAATTCTAACAATTTCAAAAACGAGATATTATGTTTTTGGATGTTATATGACATGCACATCAAAAAAAACCATGCTAATCACTTCCGTCGCTTATCTATAACTTATAAAGCACTGCTCGGATTTAGCAAAAATTAAAAGACAAAGTTACTACTCTCTCAAGGATGAAAAAGGTTTTGAAAGTAGATACAGTGGCAGCGAAGTAACGGGATAAAAAACAAAAAATGTAGATCGCTCAAATTTCGGCGTTTTGACGTTTCAGTGACTTCCAACCCTGGTAATTATTCGCATATTTCACACATCATAAATTTACCAGTACATTTGCCCTTAAAGCTTAGAGTGATAGATGTTTTCGATATGCGCCTCTGCGTCGTCGTCGGCAGTCCCGATCTAGATGAGTGTCCTGCCATTACTGCCACGTCGTGCGGTCAGGCATGGGGGAGAGGCGACGTCACCAGATTGACGGTAGTACCGGTTGGGCAGGCTTGTTTGACTGACACGATCTGTTTAATTTCTCTTTTGTCTTTTGTCAGACGGTCTCACTTGAGCTGAACGTAATACTCTATGAACCAACCGATGACGGCGTTGTGTGGGAAGTGCAGAGTCAACCTATTTGGTGCCACCTTTTTCGTAACTCTAGTAAGGTGCTCTACCATTCACCGTCAAGAATATAATTTATTGATGAAATAGGACTATACAGTATTTTTTTCTGAAATTATATTTTAGATAGCCTGGTCTATTGGAAGGTTGAACAAGATTATAAAAAATGAGCCTGACTTCTTAACACTAAATAAATAAGTATAATGTTGTCTTGGGATATTTAAATATTAATCTGAGCATTCGTCGTAGAGATTGTGTTTGGATATCAGGGGCTTTATCCCTGATGGTGGCGATTAGAGTTAATGCAAATAAACTTTATTTTGTGAGTACAAGTGTTGCATTCCTGGTCAGCGGAAGTGGGAACTTTCCAAAGTTGCTGTTATATGTTCGGAAACAGAAATAAAATAACACAATGTTTTATACTCCCATAAAGGAGGTTTCTATGCGGCCGAAAATCCATAAAGCACTTTTGGACAAAGATATAATCTGTGGAGCTATAAAACAACTTTATGGAAGCACTGTTCACGTAAATTTGAATTTATTGTCACAAATGGAGGTGGAGTCGATGAACAACCGATCAAATGTAATCCCTCGGATTTAGTACTAATTACCTCTAACTTTTTAATATCCCACATACTGAATAGCGTGCATACAAAGTCTGATAAGCACTGATTTTGAAAAGCATATGTAATGAGCTTGGATTAATTGATCCCTTCTTTTGGACTACTGACAGTTCATATTTTTTTTGCATACAACTTGCAGCTGCTGAAAAATACCTGGCGTACCTATTGATAGCTGGAAGTACTTTTCACCATACAACTTCTTCTCCTAGAGAAGGTCTAGCCTGAAGAACTGTTTGCAAACCTGGAGATCGGCTGCTCAGACTACTCTGTGCTCACGACGACAGACGGTCAATGCTCTGTCCCTTTTGTACCGATGTGTTGATGGAGTTTGCTCCTCTGAACTGCTGTCTTGATTCGAGTCTAAAGGCCGTCGTGGGTTGGAATTTCTTCCTAACGTTTTGCTAGCACGAGTGGAAAGCTTCTTCAGAGGTCCTTCCATTTCCGGTGCTGCATGTAGAGTGACGATTTCTCTTGCGCAGGTTGTATTTATACTGGAGGGTAGGTGACGTGGCTTGTTCCGCTTCGGTTGACTTTGGGATGACGCTCGGCACTGCTTGGGCGTTTCTGAGGATCAAGTGCCAGATCGGGTTGAGTCTGAGGGTATCTTCCCTCTTGTTGAAGTTATCTGGCTGTTTGTGAATCTCGATAGCTTCCCTGACCAGTCTATTGTGATAGCCGTTGACTGATGACAGCAACCTGCAGCTCCTAAAGTGTATCCTGTGGTCCCCATTCCTTAGTGCATGTTCAGCTATCGCAGACTTCTCAGTTTATCCTAGCAGGAAATTTGCTTTGTGCTCCTTGAGTCTCGTTCCCATTGATCTTTTCGTAGTTCCAATTTATACTTTGCTGCATGAACACGGTATGCGGTAGACTCCTGCAACTGAGAGTGGGTCCTTCTTGTCCTTTGCCGATCTGATGGTTTGTTGGATCTTCTTCCTAGGCTTGAAGATTGTTTTAATGTCATGTCTCTTCAGGACTCTGCCAATCCTGTCCGTAGCTCTTGGCACAAATGGCCACATTGCTCTATACATCAAGCCATCCAGTGTTTAGAAAATAATATCTCATTTTTCACTCCCCAATATGACAACATTATATTCTTGGGCGATATGAATGTCGACTTGCTTGCTCATAACAACATCCTCAGCAGCTGCTTTGGTTTATTCAATTTCATTCAAGTCATTGATGAGCCTACACGTGTTACAGCCTTCAGTTCCACATTACTTGATCCAATATTTGTTAGTGACAATACTATCGTCAAAAGGTCAGGGACACTCAATGCAGACTCAAATAGTGATCATCGGCTCACATACTGTGATATTTCCGTTTGTTATAAAAAAATAGAGCCTAAATTTGTAACATATAGAAATCTTAATAGCATTGATATTCAAAGTTTTAAGACGCAGATTGCATCAATGCAGCTTAATGACATTTATTTCGTGAATGATGTGGATATTAAAGTCTCTATTTTTACTGGCCGTCTTCTTTATCTATTCGATCTCTACGCTCCGCTACGTACAGAACGTGTCACAAAACCTGCTGCGCCCTGGCTCACTCCTAACTTGAAAATGATTTTTCAACTCAGAGATGAGGCATTCGCTGTCTATCAGCATAACAGATCTGATCAGAATTGGGCCAGCTACAAAGATTTGAGAAATTATACCCTTGCATCGCTTAGAAGAGAGAAAAAAGCATATATGTCACGTTTCCGGAATCTTAACTCTAGTCAAGCTTGGAAACACCTGAGGAGGATGAATGTGGTAGCCCAGAAACATGTTGCGATACCTCCCAGTCTCCTTGAGCCTAACATTTTAAATAATTATTTTCTTTCAATTTTCCAGACAGCTGCAGCTGATCCAAATTTGATTGATAGTGTCTCTAACTCTTATAGCGATAGACGCCATACACCGGATGCACCTCTGTTTGCTTTTAAACTCCTTACTCAGCAAGACATCGTCAATATAATCTCTCACATTAAGTCTACGGCATGTGGCTCTGATGGTCTAACTTTAAATATGGTTTGCTTATGTTTGCCTGATACCATAGACCATATAACTCACATTGTCTGTCTCGAAACAGGTTACTTTCCTGCCAGTTGGAAAAATGGTATTATTATTCCAATAGCTAAAACTAATCATCCAGAACAATATTCAGATCTCAGGCCAATTACCTTATTATGCTTTCTATCAAAAATACTCGAAAGAGCTGTCTACTCACAACTAGTGGAGTTTTTCGAACAAAACCACTTATTTCGTATTTATTACATCTTACTGATTCCATCATTCACAATTTAGATAATCACATCAACACCGTCTTGGTACTGTTAGATTTCTCGAAAGCCTTTGATATGGTCAATCACCAGATACTACTGAGTAAGTTATCTCATTATGGAATGTCAGATATAGTTCTAAGGTTCTTTGAGTCATACTTGCTAAATCGTCAACAAACAGTGAAAACTGATCAGGGAATTTCCTCCTCTGAGCCAGTTCCTTCAGGAGTTCCTCAGGGCTCAGTATTAGGTCCCTTACTGTAGTATGCAAACTTATGCAGATGATACTCAGTTAGTGTTTGGTTTCGATCCATCAAAGGTTGATGAAGTTTCTTTTAAAGTTAATTTAGATTTGGCTAACATCGGTGATTACTGTAACAAACACTGCTTGAAGATCAATCCCAATAAAACTACTGCAATGTTGTACTGTTCGAAGAACTCCTACCGTGAAATGAAGCAGAGGATTTGTGTTTTTTTGGATGAGACACTCATCCCTTTTGTGGATTACGCCGAAAATCTCGGTATTACCCTTGATTTAAATATGAGATTCGATCGGCATGTCTCTTTCTTATCTAGAGTAACATATTTGCGTTTGAAACTCCTCTATTCCAATCGATACATCTTGAATTTTAAAACCCGAAAAAAGCTCGCTGAAAGTCTTGTGTTGTCTGTCATTTCTTACTCTCTTGTTCTGTATTACCCATGTTTAGACTACGTCCACAAAAGGAAACTTCAGAAAATTCAGAACAGCTGTTGTAGGTTTATTTTTGGATTGCGCAAGTTTAGTCGCGTCTCAGATAAAATCAAAGAACTCAACTGGTTGCGAATTGATAAGTTATTTTTATATCTTTTGACCGTCTTCACGCATAAAGTTCTATTATCTAATAGACCAGCTTACCTCGCTAGCAAATTAGTTCACCGAGGTAGTTTTGTTACCAGAGCTCTTAGATTTAATGCTAATTTTAACATGCCTCCTCACAATACCTCGGTCTTTGAAAGAAGTTACACCTATAATGCTGTCAAGCATTACAATGCAGTCAACAGTGGCTATCGATCCAAACAGGTAATTTCTTTCAAGAAATTAATAAAAAGTCAGCTGCTGGAGTCCATTTAGTTCAATTTTTCTTGTGCTCATGTGATTTTTTTTTGTTTTTTTTTTTTTGACTACTATTTTTGTTTCAAATTTAAAACTCTCGCAATGCTATCTGCATTTATCTCGTGCAATCATTGTTGTCATTCTTATGAATTGTATTTTTTTTTTGTATGTTATTATTTTGTTTATGTGTGTAAGTATTCTTTTTTCCTGTTGTGGGGTTGAGTGTAAGAGTAGCCGTCTGGCTAAACTTCGCCTCACTGCAGTTAATAAAGGCATTATTATTATATGCTTTAGAGGTGGTGGGACGCTGTTCGGTTTCACGTGGCCTGGCTGATCTCGAGCCCATTGATCTTTCGATGTCTTTCTTGCTGTTGCCATTTGCTTCGAACAGGTGTTCAAGTTCAAGTTCTGTCTGGAGGTTCTCCGGTTCGCAAATCCTTCGAGCTCGTTCTGTCAGGGTTCTGATGACTCCATACTTCTGACTTGGGTGATGATTGGACAAAGCGTGCCACATACTGAATAGCGCGCATACAAAGTGTGATAAGCACTGATTTTGAAAAGGATATGTAACGAGTTTGGATTAATTGATCCCTTCTTTTGAACTACTGACACTTTTACTGACTCTTTTTTTGCATAAAACTTGATCAGTTTACCCAGTGGATACATGGTTTGTATTAGAATAACTTCGGATCGGTTTTAGTTTCCGTTGTACATTAACGACCCCTTTATGATAAACCCGATCTCTAGCTTCATAGACAACCTAAATGTGCATTCTTGATAGATGGTCTAGCTTCGTCAGAAAGCTGTTTGTTTCCACTTGTCGAAGGTCTGATCCCCGAGACATGATTTACATGAACTCGTCTCTTCAATCGTCGCAGCTGCTGAAAAATACCTGGCGTACCTGTTGACAGCTAGGAAGTATCTTTCACCATACAACTTCTTCTCCTAGAGAAGGTCTAGCCTGAAGAACTGTTTGCAAACCTGGAGATCGGCTGCTCAGACTACTCTATGCTCACAACGACAGACGGTCAGTTCTCTGTGCTTTTTGTACCGATATGTTGATGGGGTTTGCTCCTCTGAGCTGTGCTTTATGTTACAGGTTTCTAGATCGCTAGCTGGATCTGTGTAAATCAAGAATTGTCTGCTCGAACTTTAACTCCTAGGGTAACGAGGAATGAGGTTTTCCAAGTTGTACTAACACTAGGGTGCTCAAAAATTGAATCAACAATTCCTATAATTTCTTTATGGCTGTGGTGCGGTGGAATTATATTTAGGATCTTTCGCAACTGCTCCGGTAAAAAAAACTTAGAATATCTAGTATTCTTAGTGCAGAATCTCGTAACGAGTGATAAATGTATCGTTTTTTAGTCAGATACTACATTCGGTTACATATTGATTCACGAAAGTACGATCATTTACGTTTTACACATAAAATGATTTTATATTTTTAACACCAGACTAGCTTATTTACGCGCCCGCTATGCCAATAAACTCAACCTGTTTGTGATGCAACAAACCAATTTATGAGTTGCGATATATGTTTTTTGAATACAGTCCAACAGTCTATTATGATCGTCTGATAATCATAATGTACTTCGTTCCAAATTTTTCGAATCGGTCTGTATGGACATGCAGATGCCTATAAAATAGGCAATGATGACAAAGATGGTACAGTAAAATCTTCGCGTTTGATAGTCAGATTCACTTTAACCCTATGGGCCTACTAATCAATCACCGTGAGCTGCGCAAGTTCGATTTTCGTCCCAAGAATTTTTTCCCCTGGCTGTGGATGTTGTGTTAGTCCGTAAATGTCAGACGGTCTCAGACTGCCGATCGTGGAGGTACCACCCGGCGAATCTCTAAGGCGGGGCGGGGCCATAATGTTTGCATATCACATGTACATATACGTGCTCCCCTGATAGAGTTTCACCCTTCCTATATATATCATCCTATAGCCCGATGGTTCCCATGAGTATTAGGCCTAAGGCCAGCATGGTGGCTCAACTGTAGAAAATAATAGTTCCCATAGCCACCTTCCTGCTCCATTATCTGCTTCATGTCATAATTGATAATATTGCGCTGTCATATTAGACGACCGCCGTATTGAATTTAGAATCTGTCGCTTTACTCATTATAGCCCGCTCAACAGTCAACAGTCCGTGAACTGTCACCGACTGCGCGTTTCCATGTGAATTTTTAAAGCGGACGTTAAAAGACGCGCGTCATCTGTAGTTACTTTTATTTTCGAAGTTTTGACGTCACGTGCACACGCGATACATTGTGCTTCGTCTTTCCTCTGCGACCCATGTCATAAGGTTACTATGGAAAGTCACTATTATGCGGAGGCGGTCGTATTGGATTTACAATTACATCAATTTGCTTATTGTGGTTCGCTCATCCAGTCCTATCATTTGATATCCATGTCACAAATATTTAATTATAAATCGTCATTTTTTGGTGGCCGCTATTATGTATTTACATCGACGTCACCTTGCTTATTGTTTTGCGCATCAAATCCTTTCATTTGATACCCATGGAATAGGGGTCACTCTGAAAATGATAAATCGCCATTTTGTAACGTCCGACCCCACCATATTGGATAAAAAATCTTGGCATTTAAGTATGTCACGTGAGCGGAACAACCGGACAACGGGAATAGGAAGGTTCGACATTTTTCGTATTTCTCTTATTTTAATTAAAATCGAGGTATTTTGTTATTAAAAAACGGTCAAAGAAATTTGAGTGCAAAATATTAATATTTACGTCGACTGAAAGCATTTTAAAATCAAGGATCGACGCGAGGCTAGAAAACGTACCTGTATGCGAGACCAGACCGCGTGACGTCAGTAGCCAGACACGTGCTGTCTCCCTCATAGAGTACTTGTATCTGTATTGTCTTGTATAGGGAGTGAAGAGCATACGAATACGAATTTATATAAACTGGGACCGACGTTTGTGTACTTTATTTATTTGTGCTAGCGCAATGCTCCAAGGTTATCAGAAAGCGAAATTGTCCCCATGTGTATGTGGAAATGTTGTACGAGTTTTTGGCAAATAATGCAAATTTAAATGAACCTGAGAGCAGCGGTGTTAAATTATGTCGGTAAGTACCTATATGAAGCTAATTTTTTTGTTTAGCTCCAATGGGTAGTATTTTTTTGCATTTCTCCGCAAAAATTGATCCTGCTTTTCTTTAGTCTATTGAGAGCTAATAATATTAAGACATAATAATGTCTGCTCGTAACAATAATTTTGAAGGCTACTTATCTCTGCTTTTTTCTTCCTAGGTAAAATATTATGGAATTTAAATTATCATACATACCTTTTTACCTTATTACGCCTATTAAAAGCCCCGAAATTGGTTCTTTTTCCATGCTTAATGAGGCTTTATTACACTATTCTGAAGTAGAGTTTGGTATCTAATATGTTTTCAATGAGAGAAATTTCAGGGATGTAGAGACAATCTTATTTTTTAGGGTCTATTGGGGAATACTTGAATTGGGGGGGGGGGCAGTCACATTATAGAATTTTATAGCAACTAAAATAACAAAATTTAGGGCTGCATTCGGGGGATGGGAATTAAGCCAGGTTCAAAACGTTGACTAATATTGCGCTTAGAATGACTACGATCTCGGCAGTAAGCTGGTCAGCTTCGCTGTCGCTACTTTCAGTACTGCTTTCACTGGCTTCATACGAATCAGCATGTTTCTGTTATTGCGGGACTTTCAAGATCTGCCCGTTCACTTTTCACTTGCAAACGTTTTTTTGGCCGCACTGAAATCTGTTTAGCAAGCGCAGGAATTCTTATTGGCGATACAGCAACATCCATTACTTTAACTTTTTGCGAGATTTGAACTGACTTGCTTCTAAAATGTACCTGTTTGGTTTGGCATGCCTTGTCACATACCTGTGACAGAACTTCTACTGTTAGAGGTTCAGGCAGTTCAGGTTCGGACTTTTCGGTTGAGGCGTGCCGCCGCTGGCTGCAAATATTTGGCCGGTCTTTCTGCCTTGCCCTTTTTTCGCTGAACACTCGTTTCGTAGAGCTCAATTGTCTACCCAGTTGACATGCAAATTTATGAGGTGGAATATTAGGATTCATCTGGGCTCGAACGGTACTCATCTTGTATTGTAGAAAATTTTTCATATCTTTTTCTAGGTCAAAATGATCTTCGCAGCAGTACATGCTCGACGTGGAAGAAACTGATTTTACATCCCGTCGAGCTGCGTCAAACCACTTTTACGTTGTGCGGCAGCTTATGGAACACTCACAAATTTTTTTTGTGGTGTTATACTTGTACGTACTTGTACATTTTCTCACAAAACACCACTTTCTGTTCGACATGTAACACAGTCAACGTTCACAGAATTTAACAATAATCTATCGTACCAGCTCGAACTACTCCAAACCGATTATTGGGGCGTTGTTGTGAGAATGGTAAATGCAGTGGGCCAGCTAGCGAGGTGTGTCTGGCTACTGACGTCACGCGGTCTAGCCTCGCGCATAGGTACGTTTTCCAGCCTCGCGCCGATCATTGATTTTGGAATGCTTTTAGTCGACGTAAATATCAATATTTTTTGCTCATTTTTTTTGTCGCTTTTTAATAACAAAATCTCTCGATTTGAGTAAAAATAGAAAAATGGCGAACCTTCCTATTGGGTCAAATTTAACTTGCAAGACTTTCTAGAATATTTGAAAAATCAGACGTTGTACATCGTATATTCACATGATATCTGTTGATGCACGATATACAGGGAGGGGGGGAGGTAAAAAACAACTAAACTGCTAAATCGTCTGACGATATTCGTATCCTTTGCTTTGTCCTCTACTAATATGCGATGACGAAACACGTCGTCCGTATCTTGCATACTCAATTTGCCCATTTGTAACGAGCTATTCAATGGTATATATACCATTTCCATTGGTCTGGGTACCACGGCGCCTATTCTCTCCTCATGGTATAACTCTGTAGATGTTAACTTATCCATCGTTATGTTGAGTCAATTTCTAGCAACAAAAACTTAATTTCGCCAGACCCAAACAATTAGTGGGTCTATTATAATAAGAATCGGAGATACTTAGAGAGACTTTTGTCCTCCAGAAACTTCTGAAGTTACTTTATCTTCCCTCTTGCGAACAAATTTGGTACGTAAATACTGAGATTCCTACAGCGATTGTAAAAGAAGCCTCTGTTGGCGACAGCTCATTTTTATCTAGTTAAGAACTCGCGATTCAGAACTCAGGACCGCCTGGAATACAAATTAATAGAATAGAGAAGCGCAATGGAAATATTTGAGAGATTGTGGAAAGTTTAACGTCACAGTAATCCTACTCAGGATGATTTAAAAGTATTTGAATGAAACCGAGTTCAAGCATTCAGTAATTGTTTTGAAGTGCTTACGGAGGTACTCACTGCTGTTACTTTAACTGCGGATTATCTTGCTATCGTTAAACCTGATGATACGCGTATTCAATATCTACCGCCAATAATTTCAAGGATTAGTTCGACCAATACATGGAACAGTAATAGTTCTGTACATAGTATAAATATGCAGCAGTGGCAGCATCATAAAGTCTGTCTCTTGACCAATAAAATGCCCACCTTCTCGTTGGTGTGTATAAAGTGAAAAAAGACTGAGATAGATATGGCATAAGCTTAGAGGTTATTGCCTCTAGTTTGCTGGTTACGTCGCGTCGCTAAGCCATGACGAAGACGTCTGGAGAGCTGTTAATTCTGGATCGTGTTTAGTCTGAGACTTCAATAATGTCAGATGAAGCAGTACTCTGCTGTCAAGTGTGCACCTTCGATTACATCGTTTGTTATACACGTCTCCGTGGAATCACTTTTGCTTAAGCTGCTCACTACAATTTTATTACATTTTATAAATAAGGTTGTCTTGAATGGCTTTGCAATAATATATACTGGGTGTTCTGAAAATTGAGACTTTCCAGGAACCACTGGGAGGCATGAAATGAAAAAGCTAAGTTGCCTATATTCAGGCTAATCCGCTATGATATAAAATTGGTGTTCCTTATAAAATCAAGAAATCAGCTGATTTGTTAGTGCTCATGTGTCTGCTTAACATTTCTCTTGCTCTTGCTGACTGTGAACACGGGATTAAGTAAACGACGATTGATCGTTTTTATGAAATATCTAGTGAGTTGGGAAGCTTTAGTGGGATTTTGAAGTATTTTATTAGACACCATGTAGTTAGATGCTGTGTTGAAGATAGCCGGTAGAATAACTCTAAAGCACAGCTTGTATAAACAAAAGTTGAACAAACCCGAAGTGACGATTCTAAAATTGGACCATTGCATATAAACGTGTAACATGGGAAAGGAACCATTGTAAGACAAAATATGACATCGTTTGGCATAGACTCAAGTAATAAAGTACGTTTGCCGCCTGACATAATCATATTTCGTATCTATCTTGATTTGGATAGGCAGGGCTTTATTTTTGCTTATATTCTGGAGACTGCAACGAAACATATAAATTTCAGTAACACTTCTTAGTCATGAATATAGTGGATTTTCTCAATCGGTTCAGCTTGAGTTGGTTATGGTTCCGAAAATTACTGCCAACAACTCCAAAAATAGAGTGGAGTAGATCACGTTGCTGCCTGTCACAAACTAACAAATTATTTCAGCATACGTGCTTAGCGATTTTTTTTTTATCTTAAAAGACAAGTAGCCTTGCGGACATTTAGATGGAAACCGAAGACAGTCGTTCCTTTATTACGAACATAATAAAGGAACAGGAGCAGATATAGAAGGATTGGCCACCAGAGCAACGTGTTTCCACTAATTGGCTTCATAAGGACCAAATGGACGTGCATTAAAAACGCTGAAATGGAAAGACATGCTCATCACATCTG